CTATACAATGGGCGAGACAACAATGTCATCAATTTTTTTGATGACATTGTTGTAAGGAAAATTAGCCTTGAAATTGTCATCAAGTGACGACTCCCATTTTCAAAGTGCACCGTCCCCGGAGTCTGCGCGGCTGGGCTGCACAGGCTGCACTCCGCGCCGGGGCGGCGGCTGCATGTCGAGACCGACCCGAAGGGATGAACTAACTTTGGGCCCCGCCAAATCGAGGGCCAAATTTCATTCCTGCCGGAACTCGGGAACTTGCCGGCGACTCTGACGCGACGAGTCTCGCGACCCGTCGGTGCCGCGTGACAAACGGGCCGCCGGAAGTCCTTCTTCTCCGAGATGAGCGGCCGGGCGGGGCGGCCAGTCTGCTGGCCTAGTTGGGGGCGACCCGCCGCGGGGCCCCCCACGGCGCGCCGTGCCGCGGCCCCCTGGCGCCGTGCCACGGCCGGAGTCTGCCAGGAGCCCGTCAGCACCAGCCAGGTGGAGCGAATGGCTGTGGGATCGGTGGAGCGGAAGAATCTTGATTCATTCGCCTCTTGTTTCGCGCCAAACCCTCCATCCAATAGTTAGGAAATACCTTGCACTGTTGCGCGGCGCCGCCGGCGAGAGCGCGCTCCGCGTCCGCAAATCGCGCGCTCTGCCTCGCTGCTCCCTCGTCGCTTCGCCTGCAACACACACGGCGCACTCAGACGTGCACACACACTGAGAATCCAAACGCTATGAGTATAGCGTCTTGGTGCGATGCAAAAGCATCGCACATGAAGTGCAATGCCTCCCCATTCCCATGCATTAGCATAGGGCACTTTCGGGGTGCATCGCACGTAAGGGTGCAATATGGCTATCGCATCGCACGTATGGTGCGATATCTCAGCTGCATCGCACCATACGTGCTATACTCATACGACGGTCCCTATCGATAGGCGCGTAAGTCCGAGCGGCGAGAACGTAAGAGCGCAAGTCCGTCCGCCCGGGACATACCGTCGTATCTCGCCCGGGTCGCGACGTAGCGTGCTATGTAGATACGGAATGATGCAAAGATAGCACGCTACGTAGCGACCCGGGCGAGATACGACGGTATGTCCCGGGCGGACGGACTTGCGCTCCTACGTTCCCGCCGCTCGGACTTACGAGCCTATCGATAGGGACCGTCGCATAGCGTTTGGAATCTCAGTGCAGACGCACCCGCCGCGGCGGAGGCATGCAGTCTGTCGCGCCGCGCGCCCCCCGGGGGGCAGAGGTTGGGCCTCGGCACGCCCCAGGGCTCCAGGCGGGCCTCTCTTGACGTCGTCGCTCGAGAATGCGGGGCGGAGCGGCGCAGCATTCCTCCGAGCGGCTAACTTGCTTATCGGGAGCGAGGCAAGGCGGCTCGCGACGCGAGATGAGATGATTGTACTTCCCCGTGAAAGGAATCCTCCCGTTTTTGTGATGTTCCTGGCGTCGTCGAGACAACCGAAATCCTGATCGCGACGGACACAGGCACAGTCCTTGGATCAAACGCGTAGATTGTTTTAGGTTTAGAACTTTACTGGAAAGACACCACAAAACTTGCTCACATTTTTCATTTCCGGAAGAAATGACAACACGCGAAGTCACCTTCGTAATCAAACAACGATTCAAATATTTTACAAAAATGTTCGTGGGATCAGAATTCCGAGTTTTCTTTTGCGGAGAATAAAATGCCGACATTAAAAGCACTGTCGCATGCATTCGCACGGCCGTGTCGAAGTGGACGACTACACTGGTGTAAAATTCATCAGGATTGGTCAATCAGGAAATTCCTGATTGGTCAATCAGGAAATTCCTGATTGGTCAATCAGGATATTTTCTGATTGGAAAATCCTGATGTATTTTCGCGCACCTCTGATTGATGATTTCTGATTGGTACCAGTTCTGATTGACTATTTCTGATTGTGTTTTTTTCTGAGTGGACAGTTCTGATTGGTAAAACAACTTCAAACATCGGTAATATGACCGTGTCGGGGCACATTCAAAATTGATGATAACTTCTCTGGGGGGTCAAAACTGAGTCCGATCCAAATCTGAAGTCCGATTTTCGATAGCTCGTGATCAGGCCTCGATATGCTACTAAAGGTGATCCGATGTGTATGAAATTAAAATGGCCCTAGTCAAATCGGCTGAACATGTCACATACCAAATTTGAACCCGATACCGCAAATACTTTCCATTTTATAGGCATCTCTACTTTGACACCATCAAAATTTCCTCATGTTCTTTTCTGATTTCTGAGTGGCAATCAGCAATCAGAAAAGCAGTCAGAAATTGTCTGATTGCCAATCAGAAATCAAATATCAGGAAATTTCTGATTGGCACTCAGACGTCAGAAATCAGGAATTTTCTGATGTCGGTGCTCAATCAGGATTTTTTCTGATTGACAATCAGAAATCAGAAAGAATTCCTGATTGACAATCAGAAATCAGAAAATCAATCAGGAAAATCCTGATTTCTGATTGGAAATCAGAAATTCAATCAGAAAATCCTGATGGCATATCACTGCATGCACACTGGCGGGCAGCCAGAGTGCATGCAGTGATTGCGTTAGTCATCCACTTCGACACGGCCGTGCGAATGCAGCGAATGCGAGGCCGTGGGGACGCGGACGAGAGTGTGGTTCCGTGCTGTCGTTTCAAAACGCCCGTACCGCCTAAAAGGCCATACATATCGAGTTGCGGGCGGATGATAATTCGCCCGGCTTGGCAGCAGGGGGACAGCTGGCCGCGTCGCGCCAATGTTTGCCAGCGCGGAAATCGCAGTCCGGACGTCGTGTCAAGATCGAACGTCCACCGATAACGTTGATGACAGGTCTGCTGGCACGATGAGCCGAATGCTGTCACGAGTACTTTTGATGAGGTCGCTGCGAACAACAAAGGGGCGCTTTTTTCCATCGAAAAGTACTTGGAGGAACTTCTATGCGTGTGCGGTGCGTCCGACGGAGCGTGCAGCAAAAGGAAAACTCGTGAATACAGCGGACAATAAGAGAGGCAGAGAAAGGGAGAGGAGAGGTTGTCGGAGCTCGGCCATACCGGAGGTGGGGGAATGAGTCCGCAAGACATGATGCCGTTGAGGGGTTCGTCAGGGCCGGGCCAGCCCTTGGCCAGCCCTTGGCCGCGGGGGGCTCTATTACCTGCTTCAAAGTTGATGACAACCTCGCGCTGCCTTGCCGTTGGCGTCGGCGAGCCGTCTCATTTGACGCAGTCATAACGGGGAAGTCGACGAATAAAGTGTCGGCGGGCCTCGGCCGCGAGGCCAAAGCTGCAATAAACGGCCACCGCCACCGAGAAGTGACCGCCGAGAAGAGGCCGCCGACGACGAGGCCACCGACGAAACCGCCAAGAAAGAGGCCGTCGGGGACGCCTCAGGAAGAGTCCTTCGAGAGGACCGCCGTGGCGGAGGCGCGACGCCACAAACAAGCGGAATCCGTTTAATTGGCGCTGGAGTGGCTAGAGTCGCGGGGGGGGGGGGGGGGGGGGGGCTGGAGAAGGCAGTCTGCCATGGCGCGGAGGAAGTGGCGGCAGGGGTGGCAGCACAGCGAGTCCTGTGTTGCGACGAGGAGAAAAGGGGGAATGAAGCGCTGTTGTTGATGGCCCCGCCTGCCCCGCCTGCCCTTGGCGCCGCTGCACTGCACTGCGACGTGTGCACTGCAGGCTGCATCAGTGCTCCCTCGCTCTCCTGCTGCAATCTCCGCTGCCGCGCCTCCCACCCTCTCATATTTCGCCGTAAATGCGACTCATCACCATCACCAGCGTCTCTGCCTCCCCTCCGCCCCCCTCGCCCCAATTTCATTTCCTCCTCCTCTCCGTCACACGCCATAAAATTCGGACTATGCTCCCCACTCCCTCCCCCCGTCTCTCTCTCTCTCTCTCTCTCTCTCTCTCTCTCTCTCTCTCCCTCTCTCTCTCTCTCTCTCTCTCCTCTCGTTGGTGTGGTGGGCCGCTCGGTGCTTGTTCAGGGTGGCTGTGTCCGCTGCGGAGATGACGCCGTGTTGAGGCCCTCGATGTTCTGGACGTGCGGACAGACAGGCCGAGGCGCGAACCGACAGACAGAAGACAGACAGACAGACAGGATAGAAACGGACGGACGGACCTGGACCGTCCTGGCGATACATTCCGCATTCCCGGCCACGTCGGCCACCTCCGCCAAACCCTCCGTAAATTTGGCGCCGCGTCCGGTCTGCCCATCGACCGGGCCGGGCAGCCTCCGGGCAGCCTCCGACCTCCGCGACGACCCCCTCGCCCATCTCTTTCCCTTCCTTTCATCTTCAAAAGGAAAGAAAAAGCAAAGTGAAAATGTCTTTTGCGAAAACAAACTGCCCTCATGAACGGAGGAAGACGTGCGTGTGTGGCGTGACGTGTGGCGTGACGTGTCGCGTGACGTGTCGCGTGTCGTGGTGGGCGACCTCTGGGGAGGCGGCACGGCGGGGGACGGCCGCTCGCAGGCACGCCACGCCCGGCCGCCGCCCCACCCCACCCCACCCCACCCCGCCCCGCCCCGCCCCGCCCCGCCAGCGACGTGTCGGGCCATGGATTTCAAAGTGGCGGCATCTCCATCAGGCGCGTGAAAGATTTATGCGTCATGGTTGACTGACGGGGTGGCGTCCCCGTCCCGCCCCAGTCCCGCTCTCGTCCCGCTGCGCGCGCTGCGCTGTGGGCACGCGGCCGCGACCCCCGCAACTCCCGCCCTCCTGGGTGGGCCAGGGGCCGCGGCAGGGGGCCTGGAGGCGACCCTTCCAATAAATCCTCAGTGTCGCCTCTCAGTCTGGCTGGCTGGCGGGAGAAACGAATAATTTAGTTTGGCCTCGATGGCTCGCTGCCTCTCCGCCGCTGTCATTGCTGGCGGCGTGCGACCTGGCTCGCGCTGTCTGGTCAGCTGTCGCGCCTCTTGGCGGAGATATTGCACCGTGACCTTGGAGCGCCGCGGAGGGCCTCGCAGTGCGGCGCCGGCAGAGCTCGTTTAACCGTGTACCGTCTCTTTTGTTGCAGATTGCGATACAGACTAGCTGACGACTCGCACCACATTTACCAAAAAGAAATGCACCTGCTAATGAGAAAAGGTACGTCTCCGCTCCGCTCTTTGTTGCCGTGATGTGGAGGGAGCGCTCTGCAATATTGAACTGCTGCTCTCTGTCGTAGACTGCACGCTGTGGCTGTGGCCGTCCTGGGGCGACCTGTCCTGGCTGGACCTGCCGCACACCGACTGCCTGGTGTGGTTCCCCTCGAGGAGCCTCCACGAGGACGACGCCGTGCTTGTGGCCGGCCGCCCCCTCGCCTTCTCCGTGCCGCCGCCGGCGCTGGCACCGTCGGGCCCGGACGCGGAGAGCAACGACATCCGTCGCCAGCAGCTGGACCGGCGCCGCCGCGACGCCAAGGTGCGCGTCATGGCCAACCGCCGGCGGGACGTCGGGCCCCAGGACGACCAGCGCGTCGACGGAGACGATGTGATCAGAGAAGGCTACCCGGCCAGGGCGATGGGCCTGCTGGTCGACCTGATGCGTCTCAACGTCGCCTGCTCGTCTGGTGGCTGGCTGCACATCGGCGACCCCAACCTGACGCCCCGGACGGAGGCGGGGGCAGTGCCAGAGTCCAGCACGCCCTCCAACACCAAGCTGTGCGGCAAGCTGGAGGAGCTGGCCGCCTCGCAGCGCCGCCTGCACTTCCAGAAGGCGCCCGCCCTCCGCGTGCACGGCTCCCCCGTGTTCGCGCTGCGCTACCGCCTCGTGGACTACTGCCACCAGGTGGCGCTGGTGCACTCGAACGCGTCCGTGCCGCTAGCGGCCTCCCCCGGCCTCACCTGCTCCTTCAGCGTGACTCTGCCCCACGGCTACCACGTCAACTTGAGGTAAGTCCACAGTTTGCTCGCTGTTTGCGCGCTTTGTACACCGAGGCGCTCGGCCCGGCTGGCTTTGCGACCGTCTTTGAGACCGTCTCGTTGCTGCAGGCTGTTGGTCGGCGAGCCCAGCCCGGGGACGGTGCCGGACCTAGTGGACATCAACATGGGTCCGCAGTCCTCTGAGGAAGAGGAAGGCACTGACGCGGACATACCGTCCACGGGCGCGGATACGGTGCTCGCCGTGGTCACTGAGTTGCCCGACATGGTGGTGTCTGACTCGCCGACGGTGGGCGCGACGCTGGGGTCCACGTCGTTCACGTCGACGACGAGCTCCGCCACGACGGCCTACCACCGGTCTTCGGCGCGCCACGGCCCGACTGCCGCCGTGAGCGCGACGAGGCCGAAGAGGGCGCGGTCCAGGAGGGACGGCCCCACACTGGCCCCGCTGGCACCGCAGACACCGCAAGCACCTGCCAAGCGGCCCACGCCGTCGTCGGCGCGCGTCGCCGAGCTGCTGCGCGACGCCATGCTGCGGGGGCACCGGGCCGCGGACCTCCTCGACGACCCCCTGCACGCGCCGGCCGCCCAGGCCGCCCAGGCCATGGCGCTGACACGGTAAGGCGGAAGGCCTTTCAGCCTTTTACGGCAGCGAGTCGTAACTAGGCTTTAGGGGCCATGCCCCGCAAACTGCAATACTTACCCGCGTTCAGGGCAACAAAACGTTGTTCAATCTTGAAACTAGGTTACTTTTATATATCCACAACGATGTAAACCTCGCCATTTACGAGGAGGGCGTCTTCAAACACGACACGGGCTTCATTCTTACGTCTCGAAGGCTTGAGTGGGTCGCTTCACGAAGTGCTACTTTGTCTGACAGGAACATGGAGGCGTCCGACTACAGCAACGACACGCTGTCGCTCGCGTCCTCGTCCATGTCCTCGTCGGAGGAGAGCAGCGAGGAGGACGCGACGCCGGGCCGCAGGGTGCGCCGCCAGAACTACAACGACGTGATCGTGGGCTCGGACGCGCTGAGCCCGCAGCCGCCGCAGCCGTCGCCCACCGCGGCGGGGCCGGCGTGCCTCGGCACGTGGCTCAACCTGACGGACGGCGTCACCTCGTGGACGCACTGCGCGTCGCGCGACAGCCCGGCCCGCCAGTTCCGCTTCGTGTCGTCGCGCAACACGCTGCGCCTGTCCGTGGCCATGGGCGCCGCCGCCGTGCCGCTGCGCCTGGACTACGACGCGCGGCCCGTGCGCCGCGTCGTGCAGGGCTGCTCGTACGGCTGGGTCGCCGTCGGCCAGTTCTGCGTCTCGGCCGTCGAGGACTTCCGCCTGAGCTGGGCCGACGCGGAGACCGAGTGCCGGCGCCTGGGCGGCCACCTGGCGTCCATCACGGACCAAGAGGCGCAGCGCGCCATCGACGACCTGCTCACCAACAGGTAGGACGCGCGGTGCGTCGACGGAGTGGACGTGGACCCTGCGTGCACGCGTGCGTTGTGGCGCTGGGGTGGTTGCGCGGGGCGGGGCGGGGCGGGGCGGGGCACTCGGAGACTCGAGGGCACTTACATTAGGGCGGCCCTCCGATTCCCTTTGAACCGAGTCGGCCGAGCGTCCCCGCCGTCGCTCGCCCCGCGTCACAGCCAAGCCAAGCGGGTCAAAGCGACCGCGACGTGCACGGTGACCACTTCGCGACGTCTACCAGTGTCTGTGCGCCTTGCCGTCGCTCCCGGCAGCCTGGCAGCGCAGTCGGATTGACTCTTGGATTGGCTGTGCACCTAAAAGCCAGGGCGGCCCTCGTGTCCAAGGGTTCGACGCGGACTGAGGGGAGAGGGAGGGGCTTTCCAGTATTCCTTTGCCGTCTTCACAGGTGACTTGATGATGGCGACTGTGTCTACCCTGGCCTGGTTTATTCAGGCCAGAGGTCGGCCCAGGGCGGTCTGTCTGGCGTTGGGGTCGCACCTGCCCGTCCGAATCAGGGTGCCCGTGGTGTCGTGGTGGCGGTGTAAGGGATGGAGTTGGACCAAAGGGTACCGCCGTAACGGGAAAAGTTAAGCTGGAACTGCTGCCAGTGGGGTGGGGCGGGGTGGGGGGCCCGCCTTCGGGAGCCGATGCCGCTGCTCGTCCAATATCCCTTCCGTCTTGACAGCGCCCTACTTCCTCGGTCCCATCGTGCCTAATCGTGGACTCCTTTGAGGGCCCCGAGCTCCTTGATACATTGGCTCAGACGTAGCGGCCCTGGCCCAACAAGGCCATCTTACCTACGACCTCCGGGCGGAAAGAAACGGTGAACTTTTATTATTTGTTTGGAAAATGCGTAGAAAAGGTATCTTTTTGGTTTCCTCCAGAGTGTCGTGGTCTGAACAAGGGGCGAAATGAGAACCTCAACGGCGTGCTTTGGAAAATGGATTTTGCTGTCTGAGTGCCCTTGCCAATTTTCCGTGTTGAAACTTGGTGGTGGTCGTGAGAGGGTCCGAGGCGTGGGGCCGTGGAGCACGGCGGTTCAACAGGTTTGCTTAGTCTAGCCGACCCGCATCCGCAGAGCGCGCAGAGCCCCGTCCCCCGGTTTTATGGGTTTTTTTTGCGTTCTTTTTCCAAGTCCGTTTTGTTTCGGCCCTCAGGGACTCAGGGCGCCCCTCGCGCGTGCGCCATGTTGATTCTGGTTTTGTGGGAACGGACGGTCGATTATACACCGCTATTCCTGTCCACACGGGTCTGGTGGACACGCTGGGGTCGACAGCTGGGCTTGCCGGGGACGGACTCGATGGGGACGGACGCGGTGGGGGTGGACGCGCCGCGACGCGACGCCGCCGGCTGGGCCGCGGCGCTAACTCGGTTTGCGTCCACCCTTTTTTTTTTTTCGAAGTGATTATAGACACGCAGCGTTTATATAATAAAAAGCAACTTAAATACACGCGGCGTGCAAATAACGCCATTTTCATTATATACACGCAGGAAAAGCTTTTCCAGCGTGTATATAATAAAAACAGCCGTTTTTTGCACGCAGCGTGTCTGCAAGCCCCCTAAAATTATTTACACGCTGGAAAAGCTTTTCCGGCGTGTGTATAATAAAAGAGGGTGTTATTTTTACGCAGCGTGTTTGCAACTCCCTATTTTATTATTTGCACTCTTGTTTTGAGGCCAGCTAGGAGATAGAGATGCCTAGGAGGAAGCCGACCGGGTGTGTCGCCTCGTGGTCGAGTGGGTGCGTGCCTGCATGCCACTTTTTTGGCCCGGGTTCGAAACTTGGAGAATTTTTTCAAAGGATGCGTGCACATAATTTTTCGGCGACACGCGACACGCAGCGTCTGCACAACCGACGATCTATTATTCATACGCCGCGTGTCCCTTGAATGCCGAAAAATTATGTGCACGCATCTTTTGAAAAAATTCTCCAAGTTTCGAACCCTTGCCAAAAGAGTGGCATGCAGGCACGTATCCACTGGACCACGAGGCGACACACCCGGTCGGCTTCCTCCTACACTCTACCAAAAATGTCCTGTCAATGCCGTTAATTTATTACCAGTTTTCACTGTTGGTCAATTCACAGCGTTTACTGTGATCTGCTCACGCGATTCACTGTGATCTTGTTCACGGTGTTTACTGTGATCTGGTCCACAGTAAACACTGTGAGTTTGACGCCGCTCAGCACCGAAAAGCTGCAAATCAGGCTCCAATTCACGCCGTTTACTGTGGCCAGATCACAGTGAACACTGTAACCGAGATCACAGTGAACGCCGTGAACTAGTTCACAGCTAACGCCGTGAATTGCATAACAGCAAACATTGGTAATAAATTAACGGCGTTGACAGGACATTTTTTGTAGAGTGTAGGCATCTCATCTCCTGGCTGGCCTCAAAACAGGAGTGCAAATAATAATATAGGGAGTTGCAAACACGCTGCGTAAAAATAACACCCTCCTTTATTATTGACACACCGGAAAAGCTTTTCCAGCGTTGGAAGAGATTTTCCAGCGTGCAAATAATTTAAGAGCGCTTGCAGACACGCTGCGTGATGGAAACAGCTGCTTTTATTATGTACACGCTGGAAAAGCCTTTCCGGCGTGGAAAGGCCCTTCCGGCGTGTACATAATACTTTTGTGATTTCAGACACGCTGCGTGTGTTGTTCTAATGTATATATTATTGCCACGCGGCGTTTAAATAATTTTTACCATTGTTGCGTACACGCTGCGTGTATATAATATCGGCCTTTTTTTTTTCGCTTTCATGGCGAGAGTGCGGGGCAGCGACGCGACCGCCGTTGCGGCGCGAAACCCGCCCTTTTATCGCTCGCAGTAAAGGAATAAAAAACGCAGGCGTGGATGTGCACTTTGTTGAGCTGGTGGCGCGCTCTTGTGTTTGCAGCCCCGGCTACTCGGACCACAACTCGTACTGGGTGGGCGCCTCCGACGTCACCAACGAGGGCGACTTCCGGTGGACGGACTCGCTGCCCTTCTCCTACACGAGTAAGCTTTGAGCGATGCAGTGCTGACTCGCGTCTCGCGTCGCGTCGCGTTGACCTCCTTGTCCAACCCGGTCACGTTCTGCGCAGATTGGTTCCCTGGCTGGACGCAGCACGGCGGCTACAACCGGCAGCCCAACGACGACGGCTTCTCGGCGCAGGACTGCGTGGAGCTGCGGCGGGCGTTCCTGCTGCCGCCGCCGCCCGCCGCCTCCGCGCCCGCCGCCGCCATCCAGCCCCTGGACAGCTCCTTTCGGTGGAACGACCGCGACTGCAGCACGCGCAACCACTTCCTGTGCGAGCGGCCGCGCGACGCACAGTGTGAGTGAAGCGGAGTGAAGCGACACGCCGACCCCGCCCCGCCCCTCCCCGCCGCGTTGATTGGATTAGTTTCGCATGACGGCTGCAGTCTGTTCGTCGCAGCAATCGCGCTAAGTAGTCGTGCTCGGAGCCACGCAGCCGTGACGCGGCCGCGGCGCCGCGGCCGTGCTCGCTGGGCTGCTTTCCCACTAATCGACGCCCCCGCCTCCTCGCCCCCCCCTCCCCCCCCCCCCCCCTCGCCCCCCCCCCCCCCCCCCCCGCCGGCGCGGCCAGCGCGCCCCAGGAGACGCGGCGGCGGCACAGCGCTCTTATGATTCGATTATTGCTGCGCGCCGCACTGTGCGGCCCTCGGCCTTTCCTTCCCTCTTGGGGCTGCCCGCTGCCTGGCTGCTGCCTGGCTGACCGGGGCAAAGCCGGCAACGCACCGCCTCTCAGTGGACCGTCTGGTCTCTTCCAAGGCTCGCATCTTACACGTGGCGGCGTCAACAGTTTTCTCGTTCGACGGGCAATCTATTGGTACTATTGCGTGCTGGATACGAGTGGCAATGATTGAGAACTTGGATTTGAAAGAGCCATCGCGTTCGCCTGCACGGGTCACGCCACCTCTCCTGGCGTCGTGTGGCGTCGTTTCGCCCGGCGGCCCCTGTTAGCCAGTTTGTTTGGTACACGTGTAATCCTCGTCCGCCGCGATGCCGTCACTGCGCACTGCGCCCCGGGCCCTGGCCGGCCGGGGTGGCCGGGGCCTGGCCAGCTTGCTCGGGCTTACGGGCCGCGGCTTACGGGCCGCGGCTTACGGGCCGCGGCTTACGGGCCGCGCGGGTGGACAGCCGCAGGGCTTTGGCTGCGGTCCATGCATTAAACATGGCTCACTGATTTGCATGCCGGTCTATCATCTCACACAACTTGAGGAGGCCGCGAAGGCCGGAAGCGGCCGCTGGGCGATGCGCCCCGCCCCGCCCCGCCTCGCCCCGCCTCGCCCCGCCTCGCCCCGCCCCGCCCCGCCAATGGGCCGTAGCGCCGTAGCTCCACGGCAGCGCCCCGCAGTTGCGTCCTTCTTCTCGGCGCAGGTGAACGTGACGTGTGCCGGCGGGGCGGGGCGGGGGGGGGGGGGGGGGGAGGAAGGTATGCGCGGCACTTGGGGCCGCCGCTCGACTGAGTTCGCCCCGTGCGGTCGGCATGGTCGGCCCGTCCGCCGTCGGCCCGACCACTTCACTTCCGCGTGCCTCACAAAGGCGAGTGGGCTGCTGCCCGCCCCCATGCCCCTCATAATGCTGTTCCAGCCACCCATTCAAAAAATCCATACGTGCCCCCGGTGGGGCTTGCACGCGCGACTTACAGCGCCGCGCGCCCTCTCCCCTCCCCGCTTGTTGCTGCCTCGTGCCGCGTGGGCGTTCCAGGCGTTCCGTTGGCCGTGGGCTCCGTCCGTGCGGCGCGGCGGCGTTAACGAGCACCGCGTGGCACACTGGAATCTATGACGGCAATCTCGTTGGCAGACTCGGGCGGCGAGCAGTGGGGCTCAGGGGACTGCACGCGGTCGGTGCTGCTGACCAGAGAGACGCCCAGGGCCATCGTCAGCAGCCCTGGCTTCCCGCGCGCCTACCCGGACAACGCGCAGTGCGACGTGGACATCACGGCGCCGCCGGGCTACCGCATCGTGCTGGACTTCGAGGAGTTTGTCATGGAGAAAGAGCCCTAGTAAGTGAAGCCCGCCTCTCCACAGTGGGCCAGAAGACCGGTGGAGGCGGCCAAAACTCTAGACGCGTTTGGTGCTCCAGAGTCGCTAGATGGGACTCGAACCGAACGTGTGACCCCACCAATGGATTGCTCTCCGAACGAGGAATCCATTGGAGGGGTCACACGTTCCATTCGAGTCCCATTTAGCGACTCTGGAGCACAAAACGCGTCTAGAGTGTTGGCCGCCTACCGGTCTTCTGGCCCACTGTGCCCTACAGGGCAGTAACCTCGGCCTTGGCAGCCGCTGACGGCGTCCCTCTGTGCCGCAGCTGCAGCTACGACTACCTGACGATCCGCGAGGACGACCAGGAGGACGTCCCGAACGCCGCCGACCCGTCCCTGCACCCCGGCCTGGGGCCAGCAGGGCCGGCAGCGCCGCTCGGCCTCGGCAACACGTCCAGCAACGCGATCCGCGCGGCGGGCCCTGCCGGCCCTGCCCCCGGGCCCGGGCCGCACGACCCCGCCGCGGCGCACCTGGGGCTGGAGGGCCACGTGGTGGTCGGCAAGGAGCACCACCGCTACTGCGGCGACTGGAGCGAAAAGCTCAAGCTGCTGCGGTGAGGCTTGAAGCTCGAAGCACTCTCACTGAACTTGATGCTTGTTGACCGGGGAATTCGAGGCCAACTTTGCGTGCCTTAACGTATTTGTTATGATGTTTGTTGTGGCAGGTACGCGAGCCGCGGCCCTCGCCTCAGACTGCGCTTCGTGTCGGACTACAGCCACCACTTCGGGGGCTTTAAGGCCCGAGTTTCTGCCGAGACAGGTCAGTTGAACTGGTGGCATGCTGGCTGTGGCACCGCCGGCACCGCGGTCGGGCCCGGCGTATGTCGCACCAAACTTTCTTCCCGTGTTCTCTGCCTGACGCATGCGGGTTGTGGATGTTTCTCATATTTACCAGCATGCCTGTGTGTCTCTTCCTGTTTTCTCTGTCACTGGTGGATGTTAGATGTCGCGAACACCGTCGGTGGGGTTGTGTGTTTCGTCACTGTGACTAGATCAGGGTTTTCGCCGCCCCCTCCTGTCTGGAGGCGGGCTGGCTGGGGTCCGTTTTGCAATGCTGATTTACTGATGGGGTTGTCTGTGTTGTGTTAGCGGACCAGTTCGAAGCTCCCGGTGAGTAAGACGCAAAGAGGGCGTTAGCCTAGCGCGCCAGGCAGCCAGGCAGTGGCGTAGATAGAGCAATAGTTTTTTCTGCCCCCCATACGTACGTAAAAACACCTCTTCGCATCGTTTCCCTGTTTTTCTTTAAAAAGAACATTGAATTAAGTGGGGCCCCAGATTCCAGCCATGCGGCGCTCACCGACGACTCTCCCCAGCGGTTTTTACTCGAAACGCGATGAACGATTTACGGGGGCGTATTTTACTTGTATGCACCACAAAAGTCTATACATCCGTAGTACTCTGCTTTTTAGAACACCCTTGTTCCGCACCTCCCTGCAGAGAAGCTTCTACTTTAGAGGGCTGAAAATATTCATTGCTGAAGCAAAATGAAACTAGTCTATTCTGCATACATAGAGGTCTGAGTAGGAGTAGGAGTAGGCCACGGCCGTTAGCCTTCTCATCCCGTTATTTTTTGTGTTCTTTTCCGTCTTATCTCTTTACTTTTTGTGGCCTTGCCGGCTCCTGCAGCCCCCTACTCTTCCTGTTCCAGTGGCGATGGAGTGCCCCGACGGCCGCCTGCACAGCTTCAACAACTCGTGCTTTCTGGTCGTCAGCTTCCCGCAGGTCACCTGGCAGACGGCCAGGCAGGTGTGTCAGGGCCTCAAGGTACGTCCTCGGAGCCAAGCCCTTTCGTGGGTTGGGCTGGGCAGGGTGGCGCTCCTCTCATGCGTGTCTTTCGCAGGCGGAACTGGCCGAGGTGTACAGCACGGCGGAGCAGGACTTCGTGGTGGAGCGCATCAGGCACTCGGCGGACTACACCACCACCAACACGTACTGGCTGGGGGGCATGCTGGGCCTGGAGGGCCGCTGGCAGTGGCTGAGCGGCGAGGCCATGTCCTTCACGGGTGAGGCCGCACCGCCGACGAGCAAAACGACTTCTTGTCCCTCCTACAAGAAGGCTGCGTGCAATAACGGGGCTTTGTTTCGGCGCAGGCTGGATCCCGTCGCCGTCGTCACTGCCGGACCCCGTGGAGCCTGGCGGCGAGGACGACAACCCCGAGGACTCGGTGGACTCGCAGCTGCCGTCGTCGTGCCTGGGGCTGCAGTGGCTCAGCTCGCCGTCAGTGGCGCTGCCCTCGGGGCTGTACTGGCGGCCGCGGAAGTGCTCGGCGGTGGGCGGCTATGTGTGCCGCCGCCAGCAGACGCCCCTTCTGGCCGTAGGCGGCGGCAGCCTCAACAGCACCGTCACCGAGCCCGGCGACCTGTCCTCGCCCGGCTACCCGTCCGGGTACCCCGCCAACCTCGACTACCAGGTACTGTGGCGAATCATTCTCAAGTACGTCGCGGTGCGTTTGTGGTGACTTACCTGCTCGGTCCGCGGCCACAGGTGCGCCTGGTCGGGCCGCCGCAGACCCGCGCGGTCATTCGCTTCGCCCGCGTCGACCTCGAGTCCCAGGCGCAGTGCCTCTACGACTTCATCGAGCTGTCGGACGGCCACGGCGGGGCGAGGCAGGGCCGGCGCAAGGTGAGTGGGTGAGAGAGAGAGAGAGAGAGAGAGAGAGAGAGAGAGAGAGAGAGAGAGAGAGGAGGAGGAGGAGGAGGAGGAAAAGAGAGGGGGGGGGGGCAAAAGGGAGGCCGGGCTGCCACTTGGATTCGAACCAGGGTCATCCACGTGGTCTGCCTTCCAGGTGATCTGCGGGCAGCACCACTCCGCCATGGACCGGTTCGACTTCGTCTCCGCGTCCAACGAGGCCATGCTCCGCTTCCACGCCGACTACTCCGTGGCGGGCGCGGGCTTCCTGGGGTCGTGGACCGCCGTGGACGTGTCCGGGTGTCCGCAGCAGACGCTGAGCGCCCGGGAGGGCGTGCTCACGTCACCGTTCTACCCGCACAAGCTGCTGCCCAACCTGCAGTGCACCGCCGTTATCCGCGCGCCCACTGGCCGCCGCGTGTGGCTCGAGTTCTCCGACGTGGACCTGTCCGGCGAGGCGTCGGTGTGGGTGGACCTGGGCGCCGGGCGGCGCGTGGTTCCCACGGCCTCGCCCGTGTCTGGCGGCGTGCTGCTGTCCGCGGGCGAGCGCCTGGACGTGGTGCTGACGACGCTGGGGCTGCCGCGGGGCCGCGGCTTCCGCGCCACGTACCGCGCGGTGGCGCAGGACCCCGAGGAGGTGGTGGTGCAGCTGCAGGCCAACGCCACCCTGCTGCCCATTCGGCACCTCAACTTCCCGGCGCCGCCGCCCGTCAACGTCAACTTCCTACAGCGCTTCATCGCGCCGCTCGGCACCCGGCTGCAGCTGCAGCTGTTCGGCGTGGTGCTGGTGCGCGCGGGCGCGGCGTGCGCGGGCGGCGCGGGCCACCTGGAGGTCCGCGACTCCTACACCGACCCCAACGGCTCGTCGTGGACGCTGTGCGAGGCGCCCGACGCCACCGCCGCGCCCATCGTCATCACCTCCTTCCTCAACACGCTGCAGCTGTGGCAGCGCGGCGGCGACGCGGGCGTCAACCTCAACGCCACCATCCAGCCACTGGCAGACGAGGACTACCGCGTCAAGCTGGTGCGGATGAACAACGTGTCGTGGAGCGTGGAGTCGTGCTCGCCCAACCCCTGCCAGAACGACGGCAAGTGCCTGGCGCGCGACCGGCGGCGCGTGTGCGAGTGCAAGGGCCACTTCACGGGGCTGCTGTGCGGCCTCACCGAGTGCGACCTGGAGCCGTGCGTCTGGGGCAAGTGCATCCTCACGCCGGTGTCCTTTCGCTGCTCCTGCGCGCCTCACTACAAGGTAGGCCTTTACCGACGACGCCCGTTGGAAGAAGCTTGGCAGACGATGGAACTCGAATCAAGGACGTGGTCAAGCGAATAGATTACTGGTCTGTGTTTGATTCGAGTTCCGTTTGATGTGGCGGTCGTGTGGACGCGGTGCAAGCGCTGACGCTCCGCGCTGATTCCAGGGCAACCTGTGCAACATCCGCGCCAAGCCCTGCCAGGACAACCCCTGCGAGGGCCGCGGCGAGTGCCACGAGAAGGGCGACACGTTCCACTGCCGCTGCCACGCCTGGTGGGAGGGGCCCAAGTGCGAGCGCCGCATGACCGTGCCCTTCAAGCCGCTGTCGGAGCGCATGCTGCAGGAGCCCTTCTGGCTGGGCCTCATCACCGTCACGGCCGTCCTGGGCGTCATCGGCCTCTTCTGGTGCGCCAAGCGCCACTTCCCGGAGAAGCTGGAGAAGCTCCTGGCCGAGGAGGCGGACCGGAATCGCTCAGGTAGGCCAGGCCATGCCATGGGCCAGGCCATGGGCCAAGCCATGGGCCAGGCGCTGTCCAGGTGGAGCAGGAGAAACGCGTGGCTGCTCTAAGTCTTAACGAAGCCTCTCTTGCGCAGGCGGCATCTACCCTTCGCGAGGCTCGTCACTGCGCGACCAGCTGTCCGGTAGTGTGGGCGGGTCGCACTCGCTGGCCGCCTCGGCGACGGGCGGCACCGGCTCCGGTACGGGCGGCAGCAGGGGAGACCTAGGCTCCGGGAGCAACGGGGGCAGCGGTAGCCGAGAAGGCTCGGGGCCGCAGCCGCCCCGCTCCCTGCTCGGCCGACTGGGTATCCGCAAGCCGTCCATCCTCAGCCTGAACGCCTCGCACAGCCCGTCGGACCAGCCCCTGGGCCTCGCCGGGGCCACAGCGCGCACGTTTAGCTTGGATGATCTGCTTAGGCCGCCCCCAGGAAGTAAGCCAGCCGCTCGCGCCAGTGCCTTTGGCAGTGCCTACGGCTTCGGCCGCACCACCAGGTCCCCGTCACAGTCCTCGGCCAGTGGCTGCCCGGGGGGAGCCTACCTCCACGGCAACGCCACGCCAGGGCGCCTCCGCCCACTGCACTCTCTGGGCTCGCTCGGCTCGCTCGGCTGCTCGCTCGGCGAACTCCGAGGGGAGTCGGGCTACTGGAAAAGTAAAATTCGAGTCTCATTTTCAGCTTGTATTTGTCCTTTTTTCGTATTTTACTTCTTCTTTCTCTGTCGTTTATTTTCTCTTTTCGCTGCTGTATACATGGAGGCGTCCTGGGCAGTTTACACAGAACAATAGACGTTTGACAGTTATTTTATGAAGGACGTTGAAATGGCTGCTTGTTAATGGAGTCTTGATCTATATGTCTGGGTCTAAATAATCGGCACTAAAAAGTTGCATTGACCATGACTTGACGATTTCCTCTTGATTTTGTGGAAAACGTGCATCTTATGCTGTCCTTTTAACGCTTTATGGACTGGGGTACCGTTACCTTCATTTTACCAACACAATCCTAGCATTACAAACTGTGAAAGACGACTGAACTCCTATCCTAACGCAATGACAACATCATATTTTTACATAAATTTTATTACAATGTGGGATATATATGTCACTTCTTTTATTGTTTAGTACTGAAGTACTGTCCACTCCATTCCTCGACGACCCATCGATATGTTGAGGGCTCCATGACATTTTCTTTCATTAAGTTATGGACGATTAAGTACTTGTGCTGTAGTATTTGTCGCTCTGTATGGTTTTATGTGCTGCAAAGGTATCTTGATGGCAAATTAGAGATCCTATCCCATATGTTTGCAACTCGCGCTCTGCTCCGCAAGTGAATGTTACTCACTTTTTTTATTTTTCTAAAACTTCACACTTCATTTTAAGAAACTTTGAGTTTCATCCACTGAATGAATAGTATAAAATGAGAATTCCAAATTCATAGTCTGCACTGTATACCTTTTTCATTCCCTAAAAAGTTGTTTTGTTTCTTGGCATTTTCTGTATCTGAGCACTTTGACTTCTGATAATTCATAAATCTCCAAAGAAACCAGTTATGATTCCGAATCGTAACTGTCTTAACGAGTTTGATTTTTCAAGCGCCCGCTGTGCCTCGCTGCTCGGTAAAACTGTTGGCTTTTTAACGCGGCGAGGATGGACAAGGGAACAACCAGAGCCTTTTAAAGAGAAAAAAGGGGTGGGGGGGGGGATGGGACTGCTTGGCCAGCTGCCAAGCAGGTGTCTGTTAAGGGGACAGTGATTCAATACATTCTGGCGATTTGCTCAGTTGGAGAATAATTTTGCTACAGCACAGTATTTTTTTTCGTAGCTTGTTCTTACCTATTCCTTCATTTGTAGACTACTGCAGTTCTCTTCACATTATTTATTATTACTTGACTTGTTTCTTTTCGTCTTCACAACAAAGGACATGAAGTTGAAAGTAATCCTCTTACCTCGGTGTGCATCATCAGTTTTTCATTCCTTAGACTCCAATCAAAAAGTACATATAATAAAAATAAAATGGATTGTTTTACAGTTTTTACAGTTTTTACAGTTTTTACAGAGCACTGCTCTGTTTACGCATTTTCATCGTACTGATTCTTCCGACTTCCTGTCCGGACGTATTTCTCTCATGCAATGCAACCAATGAATGAAACACTGCTGCGCTGGCCGCCCTCTGAACGGGTCGTGTTGCTCCAGGGACGCCGTCGCCTCGCAAGAAGCGCAACAACTCGACGCCGACCCGACAGCGGTCCGGCGTGGACGCGGCCGAGAAGAAGCAGATCCTGCAGCAGCTGGTGTCCGGCAGCAGCCTGGACGGTGAGCCCCTGCTGCTGGACTCGCTGGGGGACTGCAAGGGCTCCTCCAGGGCGTCCTCCAGGAAGGCGTCGCGCGACGAGGACGGCGGCACCTGCGAGACGTCCTTCAGCATCGCCGGCCTGCCGTCTCTCGGTGAGTGGATTCGCGCCCCGTCGTGGCTGCCTTCCAAGCGCTCCCTTTCATCCCTTCCATTTCTGGTTTTTCCTCTAGTCGGCCAGACGGCCGTCCGCCTGCGTGCCGCCCCTGGCCACTGGCCGCTGTGGCACGCAGATGTTGCCTGGCCTTTACCTCTTCACTAATGCCAACTTCTTCTTTCTGTGTGTTTGTGTGACATAGCATTTCAGCCTCTCGAGCGGCATTCCATTTTACTATTTGTTGTAAATACCTTCTCTCCTGTCACCTCTTGGTTTAAACTCTTCCAGCTGCTCCTTGTGTGGATTACTAATTTCTTACCTCTCATTAAAGTCGAATTTTTTTTTAGAGTTTTTCTTCTCTTACGGCGCGCATCGTAAGCAAAAATAACGTTCGTTGTTGTTTCTTTGGCTTTTTGAAGTTTTGTTTTTTGGTTCTTCAACGGTGTTTCAGTAGTTATGCTGTGGTTGCATGTGAAATGCTATGTAAAACCCGACCAATAAAGGAAAAGATTAGGTCGGATTATAAACATCGGAGTGGCCCGTTCCCATCTGGTACCACTTGGCTGTGCTCCCCTACAAAGACAGAGCTTGGTCCATGGCTGTTCGATGTTGAAGTCAACCTTTCACATCAACGTTAAACTAATTTTTTTAAAGTACCTAAACATGTATACTTCTAAAAATTACTTCTAAAAATCAAAGAAAATTCACTAACTTCGCATAAATAACGTCCGTAAAAAGCATTAAAATGATTGTAACACGATTGGTGACCCAACGCGGTCGATAAAGCATCTCTCAATAAGCCAGAGCTCGTGACGTAGCCGAGAGGGCGTCGAACAGCTCTAGCTTGGTCCTCGTCTCGTCGCCAGGGTCGGAGCCTCCGCACAAGCTGGAGAAAAAGGTCACTTTTGCGCGCCTGCTGAACAAGGTGTCGGCCGAGATAGAGCAGAACGCGGGGGCCGCGGGGGCGTCGGGGGCGTCGAGCCCCCCGCAGTCCACCTCGTCGAATCCCGGCACGGGGTCCGGCACGGGGTCCGGCACGGGCAGCGAGTCCCTGTCGTCCCTCGACGCGAGTGCAGGTCAGTACGGGGAGCCCGACACACCCTGTAAATTTGCGGCGCCTCCCTTCTAGCTAGAGCGGGCCGGCGCCCCGAACCACCCACCTACCTGTGCCCCCTGTGCCCCCTGTGCCACCACGCAACAGGCGAAAGGCCCCGCCTTGCCCGCCGCGCGCGACAACATTGTACTATCTTTTTATGGCGTTTTTTGTACATTCTTCCTGTTTCCCTCGCTCGTTTTTTCTCTCGCTTTGTTATTGTTCTTCTTCTTCTTCTCCTTCTTCTTCTTCTTATTCTAATTATTGTTGGAATCCACCTGCTTGCGGCCAGCGCTGCCTTCGTCACGAGTTCGTTGCCTGAATGTACTTTACTCGCACGTGCGCGGTTTGGACCCGAAGTGGGACTAGTAGCGCAACCTAAACTCCCAACCGCCCAACTCAACTAAATATGGAACAGTTTTTGTGATTTGAGTTTGATTTTTCGAGCATTGTTATGTGTTGTATAACTAAATCCTGTAGCTGTTAAATGTAGACCACTAGATCGGTGTTTTCCCTCTAAAAGTTTTGTAAATATCGTTTTTTTTTTGTATAAACCCTTTTGTCTGTTCTGATCTGTCTACCTGCTGGTTAGGAGCCTTAAACGATCAGTGAGTATAGATTCGTACACCCACACAGCGTTTTAGGTCCAATGACACTGGAACACCGCGAGGCTGTAAGTTGGTCCTCCTCCCAGACTCGCCTCGGTGCGTGCTCCGCGGTGCTCCGCCCTCGCTCTGCCGGCCTGCCCGGCCCGGCCGGCCCGGCCCGGTCCGAGGTTCGCCGCCCGACAAAATGTGTTTGTTGGCAGGCGACTCAGCGCTTCAGCCCCTGTTGTCCAGCTCCAGCCCGGTGAGGGGCGGCGGCGGCGGCGGCCGCCCCCAGGGCCGCCCCCAGGGCCTCGCAGGGTCGCGAGCGGGCCGAGGGGCGTCGCGGCGGTTCAGGCTCTCATGAGGTTGTCAACTTGAAAAAGATAAAAGAAAACTCCGAAAACAAATTAACGAAAAAAAACAACACAAACTCCGGCACAACATAATCCTTGTCTCTTTTCTTTCTGTTTCTTCCCTTCAATTTTTCATTTGTTTATATTCTTAGTTTTCTTCCCTCTAATGTTTTATTTTTTTATTTTTTAGTCTTTATCGGGAATTTCTAAGCAAAAGTCTACTTCTGTTAGCGAGACAAGCGTTGTGCCGGGGCAGTGTAGCTGCCGCTGAGCTGCTCAAGCCGCTACTTGTCGCTTGTATCTATCTGAGTGTTGTGTGCAGCCTGCTGCCGCAAGGGCGGCACGGGGCCTACACTGCAGTGCTCTGCAGGCTGCGAGGCTCGATGGTGTGCTGCCGCGTGCTGCCGCGTGCAGGGGCTTGAGGCCGGCATTGGGCACTGCGCGGGGGCCAGCCTGCGGACCCTGCGGGAGCCACCGACAATGCCTGGCCGTATACCGGTAGGGACACTCACCCACACACCCGCCAGCCCACATACACTCGCATACACACACACGACACGTTGTGAGGTCACCATCCCAGAGAGAAATAGAACGTTTGCAATAGACGCCGATGCCTCGTCTTCATCGATATGCAAGGACCATAATCACCTGGAAAAGATGTGACTTTACCCGGCGCACGATGCATTTTCGCGATATTGACGTCGATTTGAAGTAGCTTTTCTCTCCTGGCATGGCGGTCAAAAGATTGGCCAGGGGCCAAGAGCTCTTCGAGCCTGTCCTATTGCCGGGGTAATTTCTTTTTTTGTTTGTCCGAATCATGCTCACTTAAAATAAAATAAAGGAATACTTGACTCTAGCGCCGTAGCTAATCACATCCCCCGAATTCAGTGTAAAATAATTACCCCACGCACTTGAAGTTGTAACCGTAATTAAACCAAGCTTACCCCATTTAAAAAAAAATGATTTGGAGTATTGACAAGCGCTGCTGGAGGCCCGTTCGGTGTTGCTGTAGTTGTGCTTAGGACTAATTGCGCGTACCACTTCAAGTGACTGTAATGTGAATGTGTTATGGATGTTAGCTGATGCATGCCTTTGTAGCAAAACTAGTGGTTTCTGTAGATGAGTCGCCGTCGGATTCGTGTGCCGCCATCGTCATCGTTACTTCATGGCCTGACAAGGCGTGCAGGCCTTTGCAACGAAAATGTTGTCCACGCCTTCCTCTAGTTTGCAGCATGTTAGTCGGCGTTAGTGGAGCGTCTGCTTCAGGCTTCTTTACCTTTGGCCGCGCAACTGGCCTGGCTTTTACCAGTGTGTACGGATGTGTTCGCGAATGGTTCTTGCCATGACGTACAAATAGTCTCGTTTCATTGTGTTTAGTTTCTCTGTCCATCCATATCTCTTCCACCGGCCTTTTGTTTTCTCAAAACTATCTTACCTTCTTCCCCTCGCTCTGCCTTCTCTTTCCTTCTTATCTTTCACTGTGTCCCCGTCTTTTCCTTTTTCGCCCATCCCTCTCCCATTACCAAACATCGTTTGAGTACTTTGTGTTTGGCACACGGTTGGCACCCGGTCGGCACGTGTTGTAATGGTAGGAAAAACGTAGTCGCACGGACTCCAGGCCAAGCCAGCGGGACGGATTCGCGTGCGTGATGATTGATTGCAAGGAATCCTCCTCTCGTGACACCCTGTGTTGCAGTCTCATTAATCAAAGGCCACCTAGTCCTGCAAGGCACCCAAAGGCGTGATCGTCCCACCAAACCCTCCCACCCCTTCCGCTTGCGATTGAGTCAAATGTAGTGACGTTGGTTGACGTGGCTACGCAGGTGCGGAGGTCCACCGGCGGCCCGCGCGGCTGCACAGCCTGATGCGCTTCTACGACCCGGACCTGGAGGACGCCATCACCTCGGACGACTCGTCGCACCTGACTCCGGCGACGTCCTCGAGCGGGGCGCCGGACTCGCCGCCACTGCCCCGCTCCCCCAACAACACCCCGACGCCGTCCTCGACGCCGACCTCGTCCACCATCGAGGCACGTATTTGGGTTGTGTGTTTGTTTTGCTGGGCCGCATTCTGTTGCTGACCGGCGTTGCTGCTGCAGATGACGGTCCTGGACCCGCTGTCGGCGTGCCAGCAGCGCAACTTGAACAACGTGATCCAGCTGGAGGTGCCGATGACAGGCTGCCGCAACCTGTCCCCCATCCGGGAGATGCCCACGCCGCGCCCCACGCCCCTGCCCACGCCGCTGCCCTCCCCCATGCCCACGCCCATCCCGTCGCCCATCATGCCCCGGAGCGGGATGGGCCTGCTGGCGCCCGTGCCCTACAGGGTGAGCCTCAGTCGCGCAGCTCGCGCGGTGGCCGAGCCGCGGAGTAAAGCCCGCAGTCGCTGACGCCGTCCTTCTGCCAGCAGGGCAGCCACGGCAGCCACTCGCCCAGCTCGTCGGCCAGCCCCTCGTTCCTGTCAGTGTCGCCGAGCAGCCCCACGCCGTCCGCCGTCACGACCTCGCCGTCGCCCGGCAGCCTCAGCCCGTGCGCCGTCACCCTCGTCATCCCGGAGGTGCGCGTCGAGCAGCCGTCGCCCACCAGGTCGCCGACGTCGTGGGGCTTCCACCCCGGCTCGCCGCCGCCCCAACGGTCGGCCCAGAGGTACGGCATGCTGCGCTGCCGCGGCCGCGAGGACACGTCTCGACGACACACTGTAACCGTCTGCTTGCAGGTCCCTGGAAGTGGACAGCCCCGTGCTGCCGTTCATCACCATCACCTGCTCCACGTCGGAGGCCGAGTCGGACATGGAGGCGACCTCCCAGTCGGGCGGGCCCGCCGACAACGGCATCCCCGGCATGTGCTACCTGTCGCCCTTCTCCATGTGCACTCGGAACGAACGCAACACGTCCGAGTCCAACTTGTCGTCATCCGGATACTCGTCCATGGCGTCGCCGGGGCCGTCGCGCTGTGGCTCCAGCAACCCGCTGTCCATGTCCACCTCGGAGGTCGAGGTTTGTGTCTCAGTTCACTATCTTTTAGATTGCACCACCATGCACCCAACCTAAATGCGTAAATGGTCTTAGACCTATGCCTACACACTAACTGTAAATGTACTTTTTGGTGCGTGTGCCTCTGAACTCCGAGCGGCTTTGTACGTGTTTTCCCATGGTTCCTACGAGACCGACACTGTCTGCACTGACGTCTCGGCCGGTTGGTGCGACGTTCTAGGCACATTTAAAACCCACCAGCGTCTCTGACGACTACCATGGCCGTGCCAGCGAAATTCAGGGCGTACACTCCTGTGAAAATTTGCTCAAAACTGTACATATTTTGCATTTAGTGTGTGATGCGCATCCATTGATGTGGTGCGAGCGTTTTGCCTGGCTTTGAACCGAGCCGCTTTCCTGCATGCCCGCAGGACCCTCTCCGAGACTCTCTCCGAGCCCCCCGCTGCGCACGCCTCGGCGCACGCTGCACCTGCCGCGTCTGTCGCGCCGCCTTGCGCGCCGCCTGCTCAATCCGTGTTGACGGCCAGGTGTTCCAGGTCGAGGATGGCTCCGCGTGCTCCGCGTCGTCCGCCGCGCTGCCCCTGGCCGGCCTGCCTCGAGGTGCTCACGGCCACCGCGCGATGCTGCTGCGCTCGCCCGGGTCGCCGTGCCAGGGCCGGCCCGCCCCTTGCATGGCCCAGCCCCCGCCCACCCGGCGGGCGTCCGAGGGCACGGCCGTGGACGGCGTCTTCTACCCGAATCTCCGGCGGCCCATGCGCGGGCGCTCGGACTCGGAGACGCTGTCGGACGACGCCGTCATGGAGTCGCAGGACGAGGGCTTCGCCACAGACACGCGCCAGAGTCTGAGCACGCTGCAGCCGGTGAGTGGTTGTCTGGGTTTGGTGAGGGCGCCGCGGTGCAGGCCCCTGATGGCCTGACGGCATGGGTTGCAGGACGCGGCCGCGGAGGGGGTCCCGGTGGCGCCGCCTCGCCGCGCGCGGCATAGCCTGGACGCCGCCATGCTGGGGGCGCCGCCGGGGATGACGCACCTCTTGATACCCTCCATCTCGCTGGCCGACCCCCTAGACGACCCCCTGGAGGTGGAGTCCCTGCTGGCACCCACGTCCCCGGCCGATACCTGCACTGCGCTCCTCGGCCCTGCCACCGACCTCGAGGACGTGTCCATCGAGGTGGCTGGCGGCGACCTGGACGTGCCCATCTTGTCGCTGCTCACCGTGAGTAGCATCGTGCGCGGTGTGCGTGCGTGCGGCACAGGCGCTTCAGCTTCCCTAACGTGCGCGTGACCCGCAGCTGCCCAGCATCGTGGTGGAGGGCGACGAGGGCGAGGCGGGGCCGTGCGGCTCGCCGAGCCCCGTCAGCTCCCGCAGCGAGTCCCCGCTGTCCGACCTGCCCGCGGGCTGTGAGCGATTCTCGCCCGCCTTCTACGGCCGCCAGCTGCCGTTCACGGACTCGGACGGGCTGTACGACGCGCCCAGCTCGGCCGGTTCCGCCACGGGTGAGTTCGGGGTGGACGCGGCTGCCGAGGCCTCAGCCGGCTCACCGAGCGGCTCACTAACCCCGACCCGCGGCCGCATAGCCTCCTCCCGCAAGAGTGCGGCGGGCCGACGGCGCGAGCGGCGGTCCCCGACGGTGCGCTCCGCGGCCAGGAGCCCCCCGCCGCCCAAGCTGCTGCTCGACGTGCCCGACGGCCACGCCCACCGCGACCAGAGGGCAGCCGGCTCGCCGCGCAAGCCCTCGCCCAAGCGGCGCGCGCGCAACGCCAAGTGCGCTCTCCCCGCCACCTCGTCGTCCTCGGACGAGAGCCTCAACTCGATCCGGTGAGTGGCACTGCCACTGGCAGTCCGAAGCCGAGGTTCATCTCAACGGGCCGTTGGGGATATCTGAAAGCTCATCCACTTTCGTTTGCAGCGAGGTGAGGCCCACGTCGCCGTGCCAGTCGGAGCGCTTGACGTGGACGAGGACGCCGGAGCCGTGCAGCCACCCGTCCACCGAGGCTTCCGGAGAGGAGACGGGAGAGGTAAGCGCGGATGGACTTCGTTCAACCTTTGTGGAGGTTCTTACTGCACAGCAAGCATATTTGGATACCAATGATTTGTTTTCCGTGGTTTTATTTAATTATTTGACGAAACTTTTGTTTTAAATTGGCGGCTTTTAAACTGTTTTTGGGGCTTGAATTGCCGTTCCTCCCTGGTTGTGGCATGGGGCGCATGGGCCCACGGGGCCTTGATGGACAGCGGAGCGAGACTCAGGTTTGCCTTGCCTGGCCTTACCTGGCCTTGCCTAGTTGACAGTGCTGGCGCTACAGGCGTGCGGATGAGCAAGGCCTGCCGAAGTACAGCCGGACGCGTTGCCGCGTTCGGGACCCCCGACCCCACTCCAACGAGACGCCGGAATCTCCACCTCTAACTGGGTACAACGTAGCGCCAGCGCCACCCGATAGACGGACAGGCTCTCTGTCCTGGATTCTCGTACCGCTTGGCAGTCCCCAACGCGAACCTTGGTGGCCAGTTGCCCTGCTTGCTCCCGTTAGATCAGTTACATCAGTCGGATCAGTCTGTCTTGGGAACAAAAATAATCTTCCTCGTGTTTGACGCCACTGCTCGTGCCCGCAGGACGCCAAGTCGGCCCCCAGCCCGCGCGGCAAGCTCGCTGCCTCCCACGCCGCCACGCACGCCGCCACGCGGGACGACTGCCCATCCAGTCCGCTCAGCGCCAAGCCCAGCGCCAAGCCCAGCAGGAAGATCAGTCGCCTCAAGACCATCGGGCACCAGATCAGGTCCGTGCCGCACTCCGTCCCGCCTTGTGTCAGTAGAGCGCCCGCAATCGGCGGGGTAGGCCGGCCCGCAACGCGGCTGTGTCGCGCGGGCCAGGCTACCCTGCGCTTTGCAGGCGCCCTGCTCGCGTCGCGTCGCGTCATGACGTCGAGGCCCTTCTTGCTTGGCCGCAGGTTCCTCCGGAGGCTGGAGAACAGCTTGTCCAAGCGGCGGCAGCGCATGTCCGAGGCCCTGAGTCCCGGCGAGGCCGACGCCGAGGCCGACAGCCAGGACGAGGAGGCCGGCGCCATGGAGCCGCTGCTGCCTGCGTCCGGCACGGTGCCCGTGGTCGTGGCCGCCTCCGCCTCGGCCGGCACCTCGGCCACGGCCGCCCTGCCCTTCTCCGCCACCGTGCCCTTCTCCGCGTCCAGCAGGCAGCGGCACCACCGGTTCCGGCCGTTCGCCAAGGGCGCCGAGTCGCTGCTGGTGCCGCGCGACCGCATGACGAGGAGCGTCACCATCGTGCCCAGCACGGCCAGCGCCTCCTCGGAGCACCAAGCGTGCCGCACCAAGCCCAGGCACACCGACTAGGACTAGGGCCAGCCCTTGGGCCAGCCCTTGGGCCAGCCCTTGGGCCAGCCCTTGGGCCAGCCCTTGGGCCAGCCCTTGGGCCAGCCTGCACCCAGCTCCGACATGAGCTGTCAAATTGTGATTTAGTTTTTTACTCGCTTCCTGGTCCTGTTTCAGATAGCGCACAATCAGTTGCAGAGCGCAGGGCGCACCCTGGCTGGGCTTTGGGTACGCCAAGGTAAAGAAACTGGTGTTAAATACTCATGAATAGGAAGTGTACTCCAATGTAAATAAACTGTAGAGGGAAAATGCACATGTCTAATCATGCACTCTTTGGCAGTGCTTTCTTCAGAAATTGTTCAGTTTCAGTATATTGTTGTTGTAAGTATCCTTTGTCTTTCTTTATTTAGGGAGTTCTGTTTCTCTGATATTTTTTGCTTAAAAACTTAACTACTTGCATATGTTTGTTGTTTACATTGAACTAATGGTAGTCAATAGGTATATTGTAAGTAGGAGATGGTAAAAACACTCTATTACTCTATTACTCTATGCTAGGAAATTGGGGCATCTATTAGTGTCATTTGCTAATGGATGCAGATAATTTGGGTTTTAGAGAAGCAGACATGCCCTTTTTTCTCTTTAATTTTATAAATTTACATGAAATGAGATTGGGTTGTGATAATTGATCTGAGAAAGTAGCCCTGTAAATATTCTAAGAAATATTGTACTAGAGTTTACCCCTCCAGGGCATAAATATTTATGTTAAAACAAGAAACAGTAATCTTTCCTGCATGATGTCTATACATGTGGAACCATGACAAGATTAACAAGATTAATAAGAATAAGTACCCTTCCTGCCTACCTTCAATGTAGATGACACGTTATATTCTTGAATAGGATATCAGTGAGCTCTAGGAGGTGTAAACTCAACTGTATAGCTGCTCATAACTAATATTAATGAAGAAACTATTTAATTAAGAGTATCATAATATTTCTTGTAAATACAGAGATGCAAAAGTTTCCATTGCATCATTTTAATATTTTTACATTGTTACAAACAGATTGTGGGTTCTTATATTCCCATACTTAGAAGACGTTGCTCTGCTGAAACGAAAAAAAAAAGTATGTAAATAAGAGTTTGAGGGCTATCAGCTGTAGCATCGAGTAATTTGAATTGTGTGCGAGGTACTTTGAATTATTCCTTCTGTTAGTATACTTCATATTGCTCTTCATAAGCACTGGTGATGCAAACGAGTATTTTCTAAATACACTTTTCTTGCCTTCATATTGCAATTGTGCTCTCCCCTTCTAATGCTGCCACGATTCATTGTTTCTATTAATTGTTGATTACTAACACAGTTGTCAAGTATTTATGCAGTTTAAAAAAATTTGAACATTCCAATAATTTCCTTGTGAAATTGGATTGTTTTCAAAATTGACCATTGAGAATGAAAATCTTGTGCACTGTGTTTGTGTAAAAAACTGAAATGTAAAACGGTGAAGTAAAACTCAATCTATGAACATCCTGTAAACAACTATGTTCAGCTGTGAAAATACTGTGCATCTCTTAACTGGCCTCTGGTTTGAATCTTTCGCTTGACACCCCTTTGTTTTTTGATCACAGTTGATAGAACAATAGAATGATTGCACCACATGTCTAGACCCAGCAATGTAAAAAATGTTACAGGCACAAAGGAAAATCGTCTAAAAAAAACAAATTTTTTAAAAAAGTTCCGGTAACTAAGCTATTGATTAAAATGGATCCCCAGGGGTATATTGGACCAACTTAAGAGCAGGCCAGATGTTTTAGTTTGGAATAAAATTTAATTCAAGGCAAAGAGAAGACATAAGGCTTAAAAAACATTACTACTTTGTGCGTAGCACATTTCTCAAAGTAAAATCACAATTTTGTTTCCAATAAGCTGTATACATTAAAAGAAAGCAATATCAGTAATAGGGGCTTAATAATAGATTGCATATTCAAATCTATGTTCTTGATGTTTTGATGTTTTAAAATTTGCTACAAAATCAGAAGAGGGCCTAATTCAAAGAAGATGAAAAGAAAACAAGAACTCATGAGTAGTGAGTGGTATTGTGTTCTAAGATTGGTTTCAAATGTTTCAAAAAAGACCAGATAACTCCTTTCTCCCTGCGGAAGGTGATTGTAAGATAAATGTGATGGGAAGGGTGCTCTTCAGAATGTATTCTCTGGACTGTGATACTTAAAATGCACAACTTAAGTAAATTTTAGGAGGAGAATATAACTTTAATGTAATGCTCCTTAAACACTCCCTACTTACGAATCATGTTAAATTATTAAAAACCTAGGCTCTATCACGGTGAGCAAAGGTTTTAAGCAGATCTTTATATATGATAGCAATAATTACTGGCTCATTATTCTTGCTGTTGTTCTAAGATATGTAATGTTAAAATTGCTTTGAAAAGGCTACTTTGAGGGAAACACAGAATGTCTGGATGTTTTCCATATTGTTGTAGTACATGAAGAACTTAATGATCCCAATAGTGGTTGTTGGCAGCAAAGGTTACATCAAGTAAGGTTTCTAACTCATACTGAAGTCTCACGCTCCTCAATATAATAATAATAATAGCCATTCCAGATGCAATGGACCTCAGTACTAACAAATTGGATGTCTCCACCATCAAACAGTGCCACTAAGCTAGAAATGTGAAAATTACTCTCGAGTCAGAGTCAGAATGAATTAAGAGACAGAATGAGTCAGAAGCCTCAACTTAAAACAGATGTGTGTCTGACTAATGGCAGCTCAACCCACTTTACATAGAACAAAAGAAACGTTAATGGCTGATATGTTTCTTTTAGCGATTCATCCTTTCTGAACATGCATTTAAAAATGCAAACATAAATTATTTAAAAATGCAAACATAAATTATTTAAAAATGCAAACATAAATTATTTAAAATGAACAAAATTGTCATTGTACGACTATTGACACTTCCAAATGTCTCAGTTAAAAACTGCTTACTTTCTTTCTTTGCACTCACAACAGTGTGACATATATTTTTTTGTTTTTAGTAATTGCGTTTGGACACATCCAGTTGCTAGCCCTCTCTAAATAAAAATGTAATTTTATATTATTGATATGATGCACATTTATGTCTCTTAATTAAACTTACTTAAAGTAATTATAGGAATGTTGGATCTGGCAAAACTTGATAGACAAGTGATTGTCACTTATTCCATAGTTCATTGGTATTGTGAGATAACTGACTGCCTCTTCTATTAAAATTGCACCAATCATAAATTTGCAAAGAGCCTACAGAATCCTTGAGTTGCATTTCGCATACTTTTGTATTATTATTTTTTTCTCACGTTATGTAAACTTGATGAGGGAACAAAATAAACAATGATGATTAAGTTTTGATTATTATTTATCTGTGAATCACAATAATTATTGAATAAACTCACACATAAGGAGTGCATTAACAATTCAAGACAGGTCTTGCATTAAAATTGCCACTCATTTGAAATAAGTAAGTAATTATTACTTAATTAATGACAAGACTTAATTTTGCCAGTCGGTACTGATAACTTTGAGGAGAGCGTATGAGGACTGGGATACCTCTACTTTTAAAAGATGAGGGTGGGTAAGGGGGGACAGACTTGACCCAGAGCATCATCATACACTGTAGAGAGGAGTAAGTGATATATCCCACACCACAACCTCTTGCTTCTGTGAAGCAAAAATCACCTGGAGGAACAAAGGGCGATAATAGACTTCAAAAGGCAACAAAAAGCATTGCAAAAGTGTCAGAGTGTCAAGTGTTATCAATTCACCTTTCTGCACAAACCCGGCAACTTCCCTACTGCATGAGTTTCTGATGGAGCCAAGAGAATTGGTGTTAAGTAACCAAAGTTCCTCCATTTTCTTGTTGTATGCAGATACCAGATCCTGAGTTGGAGAAAGCTTCGACTTGTGGGGAATTGCTTTGGCAGCAACACTCCTGGTAATGTCCTGATCACTAATCGCATTCTCTGCATTTCTTTTAGAGCGAACTCTTTGCCTACGTAAGCGTACCAGCTCACTTTTATGGTCTTTCCTCATTTTTTGTCTTACTTCCTGAAAAGTGAAAAATGCACACAATATAAAATTCAATCAATATAAATGCACACATAACTCACCAAACCTCCGTGACAATCGATAATAGATATCTGAAACTGCTCACATGATTTTTGTCAACGTTTGATGGTTCTATTGGCTCTATCTTCAAATCCTTCAGTAAATTAACTACATCTTCAGATGATGGAATACAAATCAGAGATAAGTCATCTGTTAATCCCCTGTGCAATGCTTCAACACGAACTGTTAACAGAGCTTGGTCTTGGTTTGGGAAAGTCGGGAAATGGGACAAATGGTTTCCCAATACAGTTCCATTATTCAAATCTGAAATGAATTGCAACACTATTGAGCATTATAAAATAAAATGCATGTGAAATAATCAATTTTTGTACTCACCAGGCAACTTCTTTGTCAAAGTTGACCATGTTTCCATGATAAAATTATGTATTTCTTCTAGCTTTTTGAAATCTCTGCACACAAAGTAAGATGAACATGACTCAAACAGATGTTGAACTGGCTGATCCTGGGAAGCAGACCAATCCCTAATTAAATGGCCCCACTGACACTGGAAGGGACACGCTACACCCAATTTAATGTAGTTTGGTCTTTTATCTGGAGGCAATCTGCATTATGAGAAGTAATTCAAAATTAGTAAGATGAGTGTTAGGTAAGAAATACATGCTACATTTACAATCATACCTAAAGTACTTTTCCCTCAACTCCTTTCCTGTCCGGCATGCTTCTTCTGTTCCCGCAATGGAATCAGGAGGCAAGAACTCACATTTTCCTCTCTCTAATTCATGAGAGGAAGCTTCTCGCAAGCCTGCCGGTCTTGCACTACGGAAAACAAAAGCTAACCAAAATGGCATAGCCCAGCCAGCTGGCAAAATCACATCCCAACCACATCCAAACCCTGAAGTGAAAATAAGGCACATGGTTCAATACATTAAAAATTTACACTGAAGTCAAGGTAAGATACCTGGAGGAAAATATTGTGAACCTATGTACCTAATCGCTTTTCCATGGGGTTTTTGCTGCCAGGTCTCTGAATGAGAATCAAAGGAATTTCAGTTTTTACTGAGGTTGCGAGGCTGGTACTAATGTTGGCATTTCCTATCGATTCTTCGTTTTCATCAGAAATTCGCAAAAGACCGGGAACAAGACTTTTTGACCTCAACTTATTCAGTTCTGCAGTCGAAAGTTTGGATTGAGTAGTGGTGTCTCGGACATGGGAAGACCAAATGCGACTAGAATTAGAAGGAGGAGGAGAACAGGGAGCATCTTGAGCTGAAACAATAAATAAAATTAAGAATACTCAAGAATAGTGAGAATGTAGTGGCATATGAACTTTTCACCATGACTAGCATAATTATGCACCTAATGACTACTCTACCTGAAGTTTGGGCAACTGCCTTGGTCCTCTTGTCAGGAATTTGAAGTCTTGGGTCCTTGACCAATAATGAGAGAATAATCTTGGGTGGCAACTCAGCAGGGGAGGATACATTTGAAATAGAGTGCCAAAAGTTGTGGTGACTTTCTCCATCCTTGTCAGGGTCAAGAACTGTGGACATGGTTTTATCACAGTGAGGCGTATCATCATTTACAAGCTGTAAAGCTTCTCGTAAAACTGCCTGGGACAGTGGCCCTGTCAATCGAAACCGGTTGAGTGTATCTTTTAAGAGAATCATTTGAACACTTCCACATGAACTTATGTATTTTGGAGTCCTTTCAAAAGGAACATTTCGGGTGGCAAGCTTAATTTCTTCAACATTTTTTGGCTTTTTATCTTCAGTCTGGATCCTCATCCGTTTAAGTGGTCGTGTAGACTCTTCACTTTGTGAAATTTCATTTTCTGTTACAGGCATCAAATCCTTTGAAGTTACGATGTGCAGATGGAAGGTAGAAGTTAAAGCACTGATTACATGTTGATAAAATGAGGGATGAGCCCACAACCACAGACTCCGCTCATCTGAGGTGGGTGTGTCGTTTGGTTTCCAAAAGAACAATAGAGTCCCAATGGGCTTGTAAGGATATTTTCCATCTTCATAAAACATTATCTCTCCTTCCCTGCAACCACCAGTAAGTGACACAGCAGCAAATGTCAAACCACAACTTGAACTGGTGTGTCTTGAAAGTCCAGACACAAGAGTATGGAATGGTCCAATCAGCTCAATGCAACAAAGGAATGAAATATCCTTGAAAATAGAAAGACAATTATTCATCACTAAAACTAAACCAACACTCATAGTAGTTTTACTTCCACTGTTGAGGATGATACTCACTTGAAGAAGGCAGTGATTGGCAGCTGCCCTATAACATGCTCTGTAACTGCGGTCATTTGGAAAATGTGCAAGGCGATATCCCCAACGCTCGGTCATATGAAACCTTTTAGCATGCCATATATGAGTTTCTAGCCAGGTTGAGGACCGTTGACGCCTATTATACTCATCAAGCAAATTTGAAGGCCTCCTTCTATGTTTCCTGCTTGGAGTCTTGTGCTTAGTCACAGGCCCACCTGAGTTCTTTAAAAGCTGCAAGGCAAAGAAGGAGAAGGACATTTTAGGATTTTTTTAATTGATAAGACATTCCTGTGCCAAATTGAAAAAATAAAAAAGGGTACCTGTTGAGAATATGCTGCTCTCAGGCCTTTGGGCATACGTTTGACATTATAACTCATTACACGTCGACGCATGTGACGAGGTAACCGCTGGAAAATTAGATTCCCTGTCTTCGCTTCATCTGAAACACAAGGATAAGATATTTTAGCTGGAACTTATTTTAGAGACATTGAAACAAGCATTAGATAAGTGAAAATTAATTACCCAAAGCTTGACTTAAAGCAGCTATTTCTTGAGCTCGGGCTGAAGCAAATTTCAATGTATTCACTTCAATCGGGACTTCCATGTCGCCACCCAGGCGAGAATCAAATTGCGGTTTTGAAGCCATTTTAGGAAACTGAGATTTAATGAGTAAAAGAACAAATATAATATCAACTAAGAAGAGGTTAAAACTGAACTACTGATAATGTGCACAATAATAAATAAATGTAAAACAAATAACCAATACAAACCTTTCAAAAATATTGAGAAATCAATATAAAGACATAGTTATAATGCTACATTCAAGGCGTCAATCACATGTTCATGATTAATGATTTGGTATCTACTTCTAACCACAGCACCGCGTGCGACGCGACGTGCGGTGCGTGTTTATTTACATCTTAGTGGTAGCTAAGTTTTTCATATTAAGAGGTTCTAAGGGAAGGAAAGATGAAAAGTTCAGTTGTACACTCTACGCCCAACGCCCCTTTAGGACTCTACCGCCTTTTAGGCCCTCCCCAGAGGAGGTTTTCAGGACTCCTTGGACTAAGAAGACTCTAATCCGTCTCTGTCTTATCCGTCTACCCTTGGACTATGGATGTGGACCTATGGATCTTAATCCTAGGTCCATCTGGTCTCTCCGAAATCCCGGTACCTTTACGACTCTCTCTTCTCTGGTCCCGGTCCTTGGTCTCTGTCTCTACTAGTCTCTACCCGGTCCTAGAGCCCTCCGCCGCTCCATTTATTGAACAGATTTCTAGTGCAGGAATGCAGCTCATACTTCCCTCTCCAAGAACGTACCACTTTGAAAGGCACTTGTGGATGATAATGGCTGAAAGGACTTAGTATATGATTATTGATTGGAGGCTGGTGACAGGGAACAAGTTTGTTTTATTTGGAAGCAACATACAACACATGATATTTTATAAACTTACTCTAAGAACACATTAAATTGAAAGGGGATAAATGTGACCTAAGCAAAGGGCAGAGAAATAAAAGGCTTCTTAGTATAGTTCCATACTAACATTCTCTACGGACAGGTTTAGATGTTGTGCCTTTACAAATAACATAGCAACTGCTGGAATTGTAAGCAATCTTACACTTACACTAAAATGCTAATGCATGTCAAATAAACCTTGAATCAAAGTAAAACTAAAAGGAAAAAGAAAGGAGTATCCCTTATAAAATATGCACAAAACACTCAGTGGAAACTAAGAACAACAACATTGGTTGTCAAATAATTGGAGCACACAGTCAATAAGATAGTTTTAAAATTGTGCCACTTTAAACTTTAAAACTAAAACTTAAAAAAACCTTTAAAAAGAAACAACGCAAGTAAATTTTTTTAAAACCAATAAGTTCTATACTGACATACAACTACTAAAATACATGAAATGAAAGAAAAAATGGTTTGTTTGTCTGATTAGGATAAGTCCTTTGGCTTGCCCACAGCTTCACTCCAAATCATGGTAACTGATCCTGTGGACAGACAGACATGAAATTTATTAGGAGCCAATAGAAAACTGTGTTCTGCACATCCAAGTGATGGTAATACTGTGTTACAGAGTTCCTTTCTGATTGGCGTGAGCTTATCAGTCCTTAAGAATAAGAAAAGATGCAGGACTAAGGACTTAAGGGACAGGCAGTCTGCAGCTCGTAATGAAGGACAGGGAAGATGGACTAGAAAGAGCAAGGCAAGTATACTAGCTTTTCCTTCAAGAGTTATTTATTTTACAGAAAAAAAAACTATTAAGTTAGTAAAACTTTTTCAATAGATACGAAACATCAATTAGATTTAAGCATTAAGAATAAAATCCTATGAGATGGACAAATATGATCAAGTCAAAATAAAATATTTGACCACCTTGAACTTTTATAATAAAATGACAGAGCAGGTACATGTCTAGCTAAATTATAATTATTAAATACATTAGCAACATTAAATAACACAATTGGAACACATGTATATACTGTCTATATGATAATTTTAAAAATGCCAGTATAACTTTAATGATAGCACAATTTACAGATTCATAGCCCTGTTACAAAAGGCAACAAGAGTTTGCCTACACTAACCATACAATGCATAGAATTAAGTAGTTAAAATACCTCATTGGCAAAGATTCATTTTTTGAAATATTTTTGAGCTTATTATTATAAGGCTGACACAATTTAATACAAACTAATTTAGCTGTACTAACCATAAAGCAAGCAACTAAAAGTAACACAATCAACAAATTACTTAACAGTTACCAACACCTCAACATTTATTTCAAGACAAGGATTATTTCATGAGCAATAAGAGGATTATAGATTCAAAAAGTACTTAAGAATTTGGTTTAGGAACATACTGATGATGCAAAGATGACTTTCCTGAAACGAATTAATGGAAAACTTCTCTGAGAAAGAAAGATGAAGAGAAGTATGATAAATCTCAGAGGCTTGTCTGGTTAGGCTACAAAAGCAATGGTTAAATGCTACATCAGAGAGCACTGAGATGATATCTTAGAATACCAAGGGTTATTGTCAGCCATTGAGGATGTGGTGAAACTGTAAGAACCCTTACTTCTCCAAGGAGAAGTATATTTATAGTTATAAGACGATGAACTGCCATGCTGACGGTGACTGAATGAAATGGCGTCTACGGAATCATCACAACTGCTACCACCTTCACTGTAATACACACATGAGGGAACCACATAAAGGCAAAACATATGGAACTAACAAACACCCTAACATAGCATAGATCTCAGAATGCTGGAAATTTCATAAAATAACAGCAGAGCCACATAGAGTACACTAACAACAGAACTTGAACACCCATATACAAAAATTTACCACAGTCCATGATGAAATTAAGACAGAAAGAAAATCAGCGCATCAAACCACAAGATTGAGCAGAATATAGATACTCCTCTTAGTGCATTCTGCCGCAGTTTCAAGACCCATTTTAAAAGATAGCTGCTATCGGCAAAGGTCTTCATTTTAATATGAGAGTAGACGGTAGCCCATGGAAATGAAGAAAGCAAACATTTGGGAAGGGAGTTAAGGAGATAGTAGAGGAGAGGGCAATTAGTAAAGAAGTCACTGTCCCAGTACACAAAACATGTTAAAATTGGCTTGGTAGGCTGCCTTCAAACCGTGGAGATTGGCCAAGTTTGATTGCTTCACAAACTACCACAGCAGCTTGTGAAATAAAGAACAACTACCATAACCACATGTATAACAGGAATCAAATCAATTGTCAGGGAAATCTAAAGAGCCAGCGTTGAAACATGGGCTAATTGCACTACACTTGCTCACCCAATCAAACCAAAGAGGAAAATAAAAAAATGACAACCAAAGAACAATGCAAAATTTTAAATCAAACTTCAAACCTTAACGATGTTGAAATGATTCAGATTTTTTAATTCCTCTCCTTGAACTATACACAAATGATGAGATATTTTCAAAGATACCAACAAAAATATGAACAAATAAGTTAAAAAGAATACACATACCTTTTCTTAGTTGAAGTTCTGTGGCTGGATCGTTTCGTCAATTCCGGGTTGTACTTGTAGACCTGCTTTCGGACTACACGAGTCTCTCGTGAGATATCTTCCTTCTTCAAGGATAATACAAGAGAAAGTTAAACACAGATGTGCAAATATTATGATGAGATAAATGATTGTAGTACATTGATTGAATGAATTAATGAAGAAGTACACTAACCTCCTGCTCAAGGGCTAAGAACTTCTCAATTAGATCTTGACAGTTAAGGTTTGCCTCAGGTTCCCACGTGTTCTGCTTGGCTGAAAATCCTTTCCAGCGGACGAGGAATTGACGAGTCCCATCTTTTAATTCAACATAGTCCATGATTTTACTGACCTAAGAGAAGAATTAAGTCATATCCATGAGACCTTTTAAAAAGATGAAACAATAACAAAATTTAGAGAGATTTTTTTTCCTCATACCTCATACTCAGCGTCACTGTCATCATTTGTAGGATCAGAGCTCTTGGCTTTTTTAAGAGGTTTTGTTTTGGGCTCTGCAGAATTTACTCGCTTTTTACCCTTGGGAGAAGCTGTTTTCTTTTTCTTGGGAGGAGACTTCACCGATTTAGATGGCCCTTTGAGGAAAGCTGCGATGAGGTCAGGAGAATCAACATTTTCTTCGTCCTCCCAAGTATCATCAGCAGGTCCGTAGCCCTTCCAACGAATTTTGAACTGTTGTTTTCCATGTCTCACTCTGGAGTCCAAAATTGACTCAACCTAAGAATGATGAAGTAAGCTGCATTAAAACCTCTCCTGTGGTGCTTGTGCGACAAATCAGAATGTAAACAACAAGCCCCCAAGGAACCTGCTGAGGTTAGAGCACCTCAAACACAGGGCGCTACGCTGTAATTACCTCGAAGGACTCTGGGCCGTCGGAGTCACTGTCATCGGCGTCTGCCGCTGCAGATGCGGAACTGGACCCATTTGCATTTGCAGGTTCGATCTCCTTCTTCTCGGCCTTACTGGCCGTTCGCTTGGTCGGAGTCGCCCCGGTCGGCGTCTCCGCCTCCTCTTGTTCAACTTCTGTCGCTTCCGTCGGCGCAGACCTCGCTTTTGACACTTTCCTCATGATGACCTGTGTGGGCAAATGTCTTTTGTCACCGCAAACGCCCTAGCTCAGACAATAACCAGCAAAATCGAAAACAAACACTTACACAGGCAGTTGTCCGATCAGGGTTGACCAAAGGGGACGCGGACGCGGCTGCGGCAGCGGCAGCAGCAAGAACAACAACAACTGGTACAGTCACCCCACCACAACAACCACAGTCAGTCACCAAGTGCCACCGAGGCGAGGGGTGAAATTACTCCGCAAGTACCTCAACCTCCAGCGGCAACTGCCGATGATTTTAGTCAACCGAAAACAAATTACTCTCCTATTGTAAATGTTTTGCCTGTAAATTGTTGATAAAGGAATTAAAACAAAACTTTAAATAAGGGATGGCAGAATCGCCTGGAGTCGTGAGTTACTCGGGAACTACTTCTCACGACGGAGGCGATCCGCCGTGCCTTGAGGTGATCAAACTCCTCGAAGTTCAACTCGAGTTTCGTCGAAGATCAAACTTGTTTTGAGTGCGTGTCAAGAACCAGTTAGTGATTCCCATCTGGAAAATAACGATAATTTGCCTACCTCGAGGAGCATGTGAGTAACTGGAGTGCGAGAAGCCACGCTTTGCAGTCAAAACCGCTTACCAGACCAGAGGGAATTCCAAGAGGATAGTCAGGAGCCTCTACTTGGTCGCTCCTCAAGGGCCGCTATTTGGGAAAAAGTTATCCCCACCACTCCAGCTCGAGGTGAGCCCGGGCGGCCGGGTCCGGCATCCGCTGGCCGCTTGGCTGATCCAAGCAGATAGGGATTACGGCGCCGTAATCCCCCGGCCAGGCCAGCCCCCTGGCTGGCCGCTATTTGGGAATCGCTCCTCCCGGTCGGCGGATAAATAGAGGCGCCTGACTGTACGAAAAGGAGGGGAAGGGGCACAGGATGTTTTTACTCCTAAGCAAAAAAAGAAATGCCCCTGACAGTCTTTTGTGCACGGAGAAATTTTGGTAATAACTGTACCAACGCATGCCGAAACGAAGGATCAGCGTGATCACTGCCCGTCACTCAACTTTCAATTGAAAGTTGAAATTGAAAATGCTCTTATAAGCATTTTTATTCAACAGATGTTGTGAAATGATGACTGTACTTAATAGTCACGAATGACAAAATTTTCTTGTTAATTTACTGGTAACATCGTAAGTCGTTCCATTAGGTAGCAAAACCAACAAGCAGGTTTCGGCACCTTTATTTTCGTAAATTTAAGAAGATAGTGGTGAATTTACAACTTCTTGTGAATTTACGACGATACTCGTGAATTGACGACGATATTGGCTATATCAAGTTAAGGAAATTCACAGTTCACAATTCACAATTCACAGTTCACAGATAGGGTGAGAAGTGAGGCGGGGAGTATTCACAATTCACAATTCACAGCTCCCCGCCTCACCCCTCACCCTATCTGTGAACTGTGAATTGTGAATTGTGAACTGTGAATTTCCTTAACTTGATATAGCCTTTTAAATTCACGAATAAATTGCGGTTAATTCTGCAACACAAGCTGATCGTAAAATAAATTTAACTGATATTAAATCGTCATTTAACAAGACAAAATGTTACATTCAAAACAAAAGTCGTAAAAATTTCAACCTTTAAAAATGTGTTTTGTTTTCTACTTCGTTCGCACGAGACAACCTGAACAAGTAGAGACATTCAATAAAAATTTTCAAAAATTTTGCAACATTCCTTGGAATTTTACAACCACGTTGTGTTGCAAAAATTAACAGGAATTTATTCGTTACATTGATTCTGAATCAGGATCAGTGCAGCCTGTCCAGTTCCCAAAACGGCGCGGCGCGCGGTTGGTTCGGACGCAGCCCAAGCCACCGCAGCATGCACCCTGACGGAGCCTAAGCCAGGCCGAGCCAGGCCTAGCAGAGCACTGCGGTTTCACACCGACGGGCATGACCAGCCCATTATTGCATAATGAAGACGACGTGCCGAGTGACGAGCGAATTAAAAGATTCGGCGGGCAGGGTCAACGAGCACGAGGCAGCTGCTCGGAGACCGGGCTTAGCAGCTTTGAGTCCACCCAGAGTGCCAATGCCGAGCGTGAGTTTAATTGCGGTCTCTAGTTGTATCGAACTTTTGAAATCGGGTGATCGCGACAATGCGCGGCTTGCCAACTGGAGAGCGGTCAACAAAATAAAAATGAAGCAGGCCTTAATTTCCAGCAAAGCCACCGAATCAAACTGCTTCAAACTCGTTCAAATCCTACTACGCCCACCAATAATCCTTAAAAAAAAAAACTCCAGGCGCTGTCAAAAAAACACGCATTTTATCAAAGTTCCTGAACGCCTTGTTCTTTTGAATGGAGACTGTCATGACGCCGACGCCAATGACACCTCTCGTTCATGTTGCGGACTAGACGGGCGTGGCGGGGCGGGGCGTGGTGTGGCGGGGCGGGGCTGGCGGAAGGCCTTTGCATGCGACGCCCGGCGACGCGACGACACGACTCACGACGCGCACCGCGGCGGCACCGCCCTTCCGCGCTGATGGCGCGCGACGCCGCCGTGCCGAATGCAAGGACTACCCAAATATTTTAATTGCTCGATCCTGACCCTGGCGCTCTTGGCGCCTTGGCGCCCGGAGTCTGCCAGTCCCTATCCCACCCGGCCACGCCCGGCCACGCCCGGCCACGCCCGACCGCAAGAAGATGCCCAGGGAGCCTTGCAGTGGCACGGCTCAACCTTTCGCTATAAGGATGCCGTTGCGCCCGCTGTGCCCTCAGTAGCCGGCAGACGCCCAGAGCAGCAGCATGTTTCCTCTCCTCGCCGTGGCGGTCTCGGTGCGTGCCCTTTCCCGGGACAACTGTTTGTTGAGTTTTTCTCAGTGAGTGGAAAGTGTTGCAATGCGTTTTCGGCAGGTGGTGGCGGCGGCCGCAGCGCAGCCATTGTTCGCCGATCTCGATGACCTGGATTACGCGGACTTGGGCCCCAGCCTGGGCTCCAGCTTGGGCTTCGGTTTCAGCCCCGACTTCGGGGCACGCCGGCCGGCCGTGCCCATCGTGGAGCAGAGCTTCCAGATGATGCAGGACGGAGCCAACAAGTGGAGGTGCGTAGTGGAGGTGCGAGGAACGCACTCCGATAGGCATAGTGTTTGACTGCGCCACTGTTGCAGCTTCGAGGCGGCCGACGGCACCGGCCGTTGGGAGGAGGCCGCTCCCGCGTGGACGGGCGCCGGTGTCCGCGGCGGCTACGGGTACGTCGGGGACCACGGACCCGTGGCGATGTCCTACGTGGCCGACAAGTACGGCTTCCAGCCCACCGGCAACGCGGTGCACCCGGACATCGTCGCGGCCGTGGCGCTGCAGGTGGCGAAGGCCAAGGCGGAGCCCGAGGGGATGTGGGACGAGAACGGTTTCCCCGTGTTCGGCTTCAGCGACTACTAGCCCAGGGCCAGCACACATGGTACAGAGGGACCTGGCGCCCATAGCCCCAGGACGGTGATTCATCTAGTCAGAGGTACTCCTCGAAGACGAACAAGTGCGTTGAGACGGCGCAAAATCGACCACATCTTTGGATTTTGTCACTTTTGTTTGGCATCAATGACATGTTGTGAGTCTTTTTGTATATACGTGTATGAATGTGATGAGTGCGTGTCAAAGTTGTATGCAAAATGTTAAACTAGAAACAATAAAACGGTTACAACGACATTCCCACGTTTATTTTTCATACTACACTAAATTATACAGGAATAGAGTTGTGCGAACGAATAGCGTTCAAAACCTCAAGGATAATATGAACTTAAAAGCTTAGTAAGGCGGGAAAGGAAGGCGCTGCAGATGAAAATTTAGAAAACAAGTCACGAGTCCATAGACACATTTTCCGCATTCGCACAGCCCTATTCACAATTAATGTCGTATATCACTGTTCTATTTGCGACATTTTGACAACACAAACAATATGTTTCACAAGATATTCACAGACAGGGTAATTAGGCCGATATATGCACATACAGAAGTAAGAAAGGCTATAATGCGGGATAATTTATGGAAAGGCAACACATGCAAAATCTCCTATTATTTCATACAAACACACTCTAGAATAGACATAATCAGTAACATATTATGACACTTAGGTTTAGGGTTTCACGATCTGAAGCGGCCGTCTCTCATAATGAAACAAGCTAGGGCCCGCCCTTCCGTCGAACCGAGTTGCCAGCTCCGCTTCGCTGCGCCGGCAACTCGGTTCGACAGGGGGCCGGCCCAGCTTGGCCTGCCGGCGGCCTTTTCTCGGGCCTTCGGCCCTCGCATCAGACCCAACTTGGCCAGTCGAAGGCCCGGGCCTTCGGCCCGCTCGCATCACACACACCGTGAGCGGGTCAAGCAAAGTTATCGATGTACCATCGTGACTTAGGCCCGCCCTTCTATTCACAATATGCAATAAACCTTACACTTTTTACTCCAACTGTCCTTACAATATGCCCATTTCATTTGTCTCTTCGCCCTCATTCCGAAAATACCCATATATGCCATGCTACTGGAACTCCTTGCAATAGAGGCACAGCAGGAGCGCAAAACGAGTCCGTCGCACTTTTTCCCATAACTCATGAAGGCGGGCTCCTGAGCCCCCCTTCCGACCCCTCGTTGAAGAGGTCTTGCCAAGACCTATCCAAAACTTAAGTAAAAATTTTCAGTCGGTCGACCCCCTGTTTTCAAGATCCTGATGTGACTAATAGCCGAAGTCGGGCTCCTGGACCCCCTTTCCGACCCCTCGTTGAAAAGGTCTTGCTGAGACCAATCGAAATCTGCAATAAATTTTTTTAGTCGGTCGACCCCCTTTTTTGAAGATCCTGATCTGGCCAACTTGTAAAAGCGGCCGATGGGGTCGGGACCAGGTCCATTCATCTTGTCTCGTCGCCCCGATTCCAAAAGTACCCCTATGTGCCCTGCTAGCACCAAAAATGGCGGAAATCCCCCTCCCGCTCATGTAAACCATGATGCACCTGCAGCAGCCCTTGTGCGACCCGGACGGGATTTGCACCACCGGATTATTTGTTTGGACGGTACTCCTGAAGTACCCTCCAAATCTGGTTACTCTAGCTCAACTCCTTCCTTGTACACAGACGCCAACAACAACAACAACAACAACAACAACAACAACAACAACACACAGACACAAAGGCAAATGCATAGGCCCTCCCCCTATTTTTTGAATAGAAGGGCGGGCCAAAAAAGGAGGGAGGTCACACGATAGCAGCATTTAATGCAACTTCATCGGCAGTTCGCCCCCCAAAAGCAAATAATTAGTCGATTCAAGTCAAGATTATTTCTTTGGAAAAGAATAGTAATTTATTTTCCACTGGCACGGAAAAGCCATAGAAGCACTGTTATTTGATTGCAACGCGATACCCATGAGATAGTTTTGGAGATCAGCACCCAAGATACGTCTACGAAGCATTTGCTTTGTAACTACGAAGAAAATGGAGGCATTGTAAAACCGTCATAAAACGAAGCGTTTCTTCGTATATTGCAACGCCTTCGTTTTCTTCGTATTGCAAAGCGATTCTTCATAGAGTTTTTACTTTGCGGCGAGAACAAGCCTCGGAACCGAAAACACTTTTTAGAACTTCTAAGCCAGCTCCAGCTCATACATGGAAAAGGGTTAAGAACTAGTTTTGATTACGAAACATCTCCGACCATAACTGCTGGATCTATGTATGCCGGCAGAGTACTCGCCTCCATTCGTCTGCGAGATGGCCGGAGATGTGCAGTGCGATTCAACTTAACTCCTACCCTAGGTAAGTTACTAAGCGTGTACTGCTTTCCCAACAAGACCGTGCGGTCAGGCTACCGTTAAATACGTTTTGCTCAAATGCAGGACGCACAGAGATATCAGGACAGGACCTTTTAGACCCTAATTAAGAAATTGTATTTCGATAGAACCATAGAACATCGGGAAAAACGTTTTTTCACCGGTCGAGCCAACATTTCTGGCCAAATATTTGAATCCGTCAAATATCAGTGTGCGTCCAAACACTCGCTTCTTTAACGGCGATGGGAGACGACGCACAGGATGCATATACATATACTGTCTTATATTTTGACGTTAAGAGGAATAATTTTGTCAAAATACAGAATAAAGTCATGGCACTTCTTTTGTACGATCACAATAGTAACAATTTAAACCGAGACCGAACCCTTTAAAAAATAAATACTTTGTTTAAAAATATTATTTAAATTATAAAGAAAAGAAGTCAACAAGGTGATCATTTCCTCACTGATCGGCTTGGAAGCAGCTTAATACACCATACACAACACCACCTCTGTTCACAATACTAGCCCCAGCAGGGCTCTGCATGGAAATGCACGTCAAAGGTAATGCCTTTTGAGCACATATTTCACGTGCACAGCCTACATAATAAGCGTGTTATGCACATTAAATGTTGTGGCTATGCATCACCTTTGAGGCGTATTTCAATGCAACGCGATGATCGCTACTTGGGAGCTCGCACCTTGTCACTTAACTAGTGAAACGTAACTAGAATAAAGGATTGTCATTCATACATGGAGACTCATCTAACAAAGATATGATTGTTCATCACTAGCTAATAAAGTCAACGATGAAAAACATCCAAAATAGAAATTGAACTTACACAGCAGCAACACAGAATGGGCGTTATCACAGAAAGGGTACAAGCATACTACGAAGAGTTTTTGGGATCTGTTAGCTAGAAGACTGCAAGAATTAAGAGTTACTCTACATTTGAAATGATTATAGAAAACACGCCCTGATGTACTGCCACGAACCGCGTGGTCGTGTTAACGAAAACAATAATTGTTTCGGATTTTGTTTTCAAGTTTTTTCTAGGTTCGTATCTATAAGAAACTATACCCATTTGACGGCTCTACTGTCGCTAACAACTCCAGAGTTAACTAAACAGAAAACTTAAGGGAGTTTCCAAAGAATTTTAAAACATCCGGGTTTCCTCCCAATGACACTTTCTTACAAAGTTCAAAATACTACATGAGATTGAATCGCTTACAGTCCCATGATTTAACACTTCCGAGTATAGTAGACACTAAAATCCATTTTTTAAAAACTCTGCTATGGATAATGTTACACAAAGCAGGCGCAAGGGCAACTTTGCGTACCAACTGGCCACCTCAAAGCCACACAACACACGTTCATTTCCTCATGTACGCAATGTCCAGAGGAAACAGCGCCATCGTGTACTAATTCTAATCATTTATCACTATGAGATAAAATGTAACACATCAACTGCCATTTACATATTTTATCAAGTACGAGGGAAAGGGGAAGAGTTTCGCACTAGATGCACGAACGAGGCCAAGTTTACAATAGACACGAGAAAATCGGTGGGTGACTTAGTGAAATCTTAGGCATGATACGGAGATTAAGGGGGAAACTTGTACTGAGAAGGACAGCTTTTGTTCAGACCTCTGGGGATGCATTACGACTAAAGTAATTTGGAAGTGCTTTTGATTTTGTTGAAAGAGGTGTGCATGAGACACCTTGAGAAAAGTAGGTCCTGATGGCTGAGTTATAGGCTTTCCCGAAACTCGTAGAGTGATTGCCATTGGGACCACACTTCATACGTAGCTAAAGTTGCAATGTATAAAAGAGAGTGGGGGATAATGACGAAGGCAACCAATCGTTTCAAACACAAGAACACACGGAAATATATGTGCCGAAACATAGGTGCAACAATTAGGTGTTCATAAGACTTAACAATCCTATCAGACATTTTCACCTAATACCATTAAAAGCGATTTGATTCAAAAATTTTGATTTTTCGAAGTTACCGATTAATTACACAACACGTTCATAACCACCCTGCTTCAAATTATTTGACATCCCTGAAGGATGAGAGAGGAATGGACCCATGGACAAGGGGGGGTTAGGTTCTGGATTAAGAGAGGGGAAGCCTTCTTCTGCCGGCATTGGCATAACAACCCATCGCAGGGCAAGGGAGAGAAACCTGGTAAACCCTAAAGAAACTACAACCAGTAGAAAACCGAAACAGATTGTCAAATAAAAACCAAATAAGACATTGTTTTTGTACTCTTCAATATGCAACAGGTTCTTTCCCTTACAGTGCGATCACCTTCTCGGCGTCCCAGGGCTGTTCTCCAAGTAGAATGGAGCCCCGGCGGCTGCTTGTCGGGGACGTTTCGGGGGAGCTGGGCACTGTGAGCCCGCCGCACGCCGCATCCGCGTCACCCAGGGCCTCCCCCTGCGAGGGGTCGCCCTGGGGAAGCTGCCGTCAGGGAGAGTCATTGCCGTCTGCGATGCCGGAGCCCAGGCTGCCGATGGGGAACAGCGGGTAGGCGCCGTGCGTCGGGTGGGTGAGCGTCAAGCGGTCCAGAGCGACCTCGGCGCCACCCAGGCCCTGGTTGTGCTCGAAACTGCCCTGCTTCTCCCAGAGCATGACGATGAGTGTGCGGCCCAGCACGTCGCACGCGGAGTAGCGCAGCGTCTGCTGGTACTGTGGGTTGCAAGAACGCCGCACCACCCGAGTCTTGCGCTTCTGCAGGTTACGCTCACCATCCCGGAGGTAGGTTTTCACGTACGTGTCTGCCAACGGAGATGAGACTTCTCACAACAAGGTCATGAATAAACAAATTGCACAGAGTTTGGAGAGCTATTACTGCGACTGGTGGAAGAGCGTCACCACCGGTCACCACCATAACTGAAATCGTTATGACCATCAAAGCTTGGCAACAACGCTAATCAGTATTGCCGACAGAAAATGGGTGCACTGAGAATGAAAGAGTCATGATCATGACTAAAATTTTGGGTGAGGAATTCTTTATTACCCAAATTTGGGTGAGGAAATTTTCCTCGCCCAAATTTGGGTGAGGAAAGTTTCCTCACCCAAATTTGGGTCATAATACTATGGAGCTATATAGGGAGCTGATACACCCTTCCTCACCCAAAATTGGGCGAGGAAGCTTTCCTCGCCCAAATTGGGCGAGGAAACATTCCTCGCCCAAATTTGGGTGAGAAAGTAAACCTCGCCCAAAATTGGGTATTGATCATGACTTCTTCATTCTCAGTGTGACTTGGGTGTTGGCACCCATCGCGGTGGCAAGGCAGTTGGAGCACTCACCTGGGGGATTGTCTGCTGGGTACCCCGTGAAAGTCGCGCTCTTGATATCGACTTCCAGCTGCCCTTTGGTCATGAGTAGGCCCATTTCTACTTGGCCCCGCACGCCTGTAACAAAGAGCAGCAGTCAAGTTGGGTCGAGGGAACTTCGCGACAGTGTTCTGCAAGATGCTGGTGTGCGGTAATTTTTTTCAAGTCAAAGCAAGTATAAAACTGACGCAACGCAAAAGATGGACACCTGATGACAGCGTGGTCCGCACTGCAAGAGAAATTCACAAGGGTGCAATCATAACGGTACAGTAAGAACTTTCTTTCTTTGGGGGAAAGGGAAAGGGGGTCGATTATGGACACCCTGCTCTCACTCTACATTAATCGGCAATCGATTTCTTGAGAAATCAGGGATACCATTGAAAGCCTCTCGCTTTCTTGTAAAAGTCAAAACGTGTCATTAAAAAAACGCCAAAACAAAAACGATGCGTGCACAATTTCGGTGAGTACTTCTGTCACGCAAAGAGTAGTGACACTTGCAAATACATGAAGAAAAAAATGTCACCGAAAAAGACAGACGAGTCTTGCTGCGTTTCAGCCTCTACATTGCGATGATGCTGAACAGAATTTATCCATTCCGAATTATTTACTAATCTAATAAAAAGCTAGTCTAGACGAGGAACGAAACGATTGGTTTGATTGCTACGCTACTAATGTGAGTTTGAGGAAGAAAGTGTCTCTTGTAGAATACAGGTGGGGCGTTTACAACTTTCTAAAACGACTGTAGTAGGTATGATACGATAAAACGGCAGGGACAATAGTCTAGTAGGAACGATCGACAAAGACTCCTTTAGGGCACATGTGACGATGGGCTGGAATGCCAGACTACGGGCTGGGGCTGGAGAATAGACGTACACATGCAATGCCAAAGTTCTCTACTCTATCTAAAGAGGCTTGCGACCCTCACCTCCGAGAGTGTGGGAGGCCCGCGGCTTCACCTGTCCAGGCCCCAGTGGCTTTTCTCTGAAAAATGAAAGTTTGCTGTAACCGTCTGCAGACCGCCCCTAAACGAATCCTGTATCTTTCGAATCGCCGTTTCCCAGATGACGTCTTAGTGACTACCACCCTGCGACAGGTGGAAGACTCTCGACTCCAAGTCAGTTTGCTCTCGTTCGGTGCGCTCGGGTTTGGTGTTGGTGCCCAAAAACGGGTCCGAAAGGATCAAACTAATTCGGAGCATAATTATCTCACCTTGGCTCTTCCAATACTTACTCCCAGTGCTCGTCGTCGTCCGCGTCGGGCCCCAACGCAGCAAGACGCTCCGACAAGCGCCTAGCCAGCACCTCGTTCGGCAGGTTCCCCATCTCCATCACAGAGTTCTTCCTCCCCTTGTGTCCTCCTGCAAAAAAGGCGCCGATGTGATCATACGCGCAAGCATCCAAATGCTAAAGAGGCAGCGCTAAATGCAGACAGACAACTTGCCAAGGGAGAAAAAAAGTTAAGAAATACAGAAAGCCACTCTCGTTTGGTAGATTTCGAATCTACAGCAGAGAATTTTAAAATTGCACAGCGGAAACAAGACAGAAAATGCCGAAAATCTTTTTTTAATAGAAAGACATCTTTTGATGTCTTTTGATTCATCAAGATCACATGTGGTTTGTCACTCAGTTTCAGAAGTAGAAAATAATCGGGCGGAAGAAAATTATGGACATGTTTTATGAACAGTGCCGTAAGGAGCCGGAAGCAACGGACTGCCTTAAATTTATATTTAAGCGTGTATCAAAAAAGGAAAACATCACTTCGATGGTTTTAAAAATATGCAAAATATGCCCTTCTAGCATGACCATCTTCTTGGCAGAAACACAACACACAGAAAACAAGCACATTTTTTAAAAGAAAAGCGCACACGCATTTGTTCTAGAACGGAATAATCGAACGGTCGTCCAAAGCACTTCGTTTAAAAGCTCCATATTTAAAAAAAAAAATATCCATCATCCAAAACCTGAAAAAATATGTTAGTTTTTAAAATAAAGCATTTCACGTACCAAGTTAAACAAATAACTCACTTATTTACGCGTCGTTGTATTAGAGGATTTAGCCATGCACCGAGTAAATACAGCTATGCGTTAAAAGGCATCCAAGCAAGTAAAAAGATCAACCCAGTATTTTTCAAGGCTGTGAAAGGGGAAAGGGGCAGAGGTGACAGTGCCGGACAAATCTTAATACCGCAGTGTCACTGGTACAAATTCCATGATTTACTGGAAATGTCGTTTAATGCTTTCCCGTCAAAACGAGTTTTGCGTCAAGAAACCGAACCAAAAATGAAGCATACCGACTTAAAACGGAATGCAAAATAATATCTATATAAAAAGCTGAAAAAGAACGACACCACAAAAGCACGAAATGTTGACGGCAAAAAGACACTTATGATGTGGCAGAAGCAATGCAACACACCGTTTAAAATGAGCCTTCTTACGAGTATTTGTCATCACGAAAATGAAGGAAATGTACTTAAAACACAGACTGTGAACGCTACATAAAGTTAAGTTATTTTGTTGAGAAAAACGTATATGTAAGACAGGCCCATTTTTTGTAATGGTAATTTATAGAATAACCATTCTGTTGTCTTACCATGTTTGGTTTTATGATTTGTCCGCTGAATAGAAATAAAAAAGAAGAAAAAGTTCATTACAGAACAGATAATGTGGGCAGGGTTTCTGCACGGGTTAAAAAAATACAATAGGGCATGATAGAGAGTTAACTACTTAGGTTCAGAGAAGTACATGCACAGTAGTACTGGCAGAGTAACTTAGAGCGTTTTGAGATTGATCTGAAAACAAGCAGCATGCGGCGAAGATCCTAGCATTCTTCTCCGATTATTCAGTACGAGCGGACAGAATGGCGTCTGTTTGCTGCAGCCAGATCTTTGATTTCGACAGTAAAATTGTGGAGTGACAAAACGTTTTTCGTTTTGCTGGTGTTTTGACGGTGTGCACGTATAAGTGCCGGTAGTACGTCCGAGGTGGTCTGAGACTTGCAGAGTTATCAATTTCTCTTTTTTAATTCTCATGATTGATTTCAAATTATTAGCCATGCAAACGTAAAAGAGAAAAGACCTGTCGAGACTTCCCTCTCTTCTTCCAAAGCAGTGCAGAGTGTTGTGAAGCACGTATCAGTCAAGCAATGCCTCAGGTGCAAAAAAAAAGAAAAAAAACCAAGCATGTAAGGTTACTTACGCCTGGGGCCGCCGCGTTTCGCTTCTCCGGAGAAGCTCATGGTGCGGCCCAGGTCGCCGCCCTTGACGGCCTTGAGCTGGCGCAGGATCTCTTCAGGGTCTCGGTTCATTCCACGCGTTGCTGAGGACCGCCGCCGCTCCTTGTTGAAGTTGACAGGTGGCAGGTCGTTATCTGGAAACATTTAATGTTGACACACTGGCCAACCTGGGGGGAGGGGGGCACCTTGCGCCCGCCTTACCTAGGCTGCTCTTGCTCTCCGCGTTCTGGCCGGATTGAAATGACGACCGCCGACTGCCCGGCTGTGAGCGCGAGAAGTCCTTATCTAATTGGTAGGTTTCCACTTCAAGCTGCTCTGACTGAGAGGACCCCCTGCGTGACGACGCCCCTGAGCCCATGCAGGAGTAGGCGTAGTCGGGATGCAGGAGAGAGAACTCAGGTGAGCCGAGCATTCCCGACTCGCTCTCCGAATCACGTTCTTCTGTAAAGGCCAGGAAGAATTCCATATACTATCATTACAGCGTGTTGACAAGCCTATCTTTTCTTCACCATTGCACACTGTTAGAAGGGGGTTCGATTTTCGAACCGTGGAAAGGCGGTCCCAATTCTCGCCCGGCTCGAAAATCGGGCTTAAGTAGAATCGAACCCACGTGGGTTCAATTTTCGGACGCGGGGTTCGGTTTTCGACCGCTTCGCCGCGGCTTTCGGCTCTGCGGTCTTTCGTACGGCAGCGCCTGGAGTCAATTAGCAAACTTGACCGAACACACATCACCTTACAGATTTAGATTCGTCTCAAGTAGACAAACCAAAAATGTCAACACGTATCATGGGTTAAAATGAAAAATGAAAGAGTTATTCAACTTCTAATGTCTTTTTTACTATTTTTGCACTCTAAAAATCCAATAACTCTTCTATTTTCTATTTTAACCCATAACATGTCTTGACATTTTTTGTTTGTCTTCTCGAGACAAATCTAAATCTGTAAGCAAATGTCAATTTGGTCAAGTTTGATAATTCACTTGTCTCAGCGAAGCTCAATCCCTACAAAGCCGAAAATCGAACACTACCAGAGCCGAAAATCGAACCCTCATCTTGTCAAAATATCGAACCCTGCATGTATCGGCCACCCCGTCTGATTTTCGAACCGAGATGGGTTCGATCCTACTTAAGGCCGTATTTCGAGCCAAGTCGAAAGTCGAACCCTCTTCTAACAGTGTGCAATGGTGCACCTAAATTCCTTAAATTTAGGCGCACTATTGCCTTCCAAGGAACACGCCGGGATCCAAACCTGAGAACGAGCGCTGCCCAGCGTTGCGCATCAACCTCTGCGTCATGTCCGAGGCGAGCGAGCCCCGCGGTGATGCATGTGGTGATTTGCCTCCAGCGCGTATGCATTTGGGGTCCTCCAAGCGGTACCACACCGGCCGGTCGTCCAGAAAGGCTTTCTGGAGGTCCACCGAACACTCGCCTGGAACAGCAACCACAGCAACATGACGGCCTGGGGAGGCACGTTTCATGCCATTGTGAATGCTACTCACCGAGGAAGAAAGTCTCCCTCTCGGGGCCAGGGCACGCGTCCCACAGTGTGATCTCCATGCTGCGGTCCATGAGCGTGTCTGGTGGCACGTTGCTGAACTCCAGGGTGGCGTTCCAGACGGGGTTGTGAGTCGGCTCCGAGATGTCAGTCTTGAGCGGTTTCTCATCGCCCCTGAAAGCAGTCGAGTGTCAGTATACTGCTGCAGAGGGGTGAGGCGCCGTGAGGAAGATGGCTTACATGACGGGCAGGAGGCGAAGCTTGGCGTAGGCCTCTGGGATGGAGCCGTGCCCCGAGTCGTCCGAGCGGCAGGCCAGGTCGTCTGCCGCGAGCACGGACACCACCAGGTCGTCATCGTGCAGCCACACTTGTAGTTGCACCCGCCCCGACACCTGCTTCTCGCGGAGCATCTGTTCCTGTAGAGAAAGCACTGGACTTTGTGGCCACTGGTGTAGTTGTTAAGCTTCCTTTTTAAAAAAACCTTTGCCTGTGCCGAATTGTGCTGCTTGTGATAGTCTGGATCATGGATTCCGACAATACAAATTTTGATCGTTTTGTGTTTTTTCAAAATATTGTGTTTTGAGGGTATCGGTTTTAAACCATCACGTTAATCGTGATGTTTGTGGATAAGTGACAAATGTAAAGCCCGCACGTTGACGTGGTTGCACCTAATTGAAAATGTTTGTACTCTCCCCATACGAGCAAAACAGCATTTGGGAAAATGACACGTGTTAACAATTGTACACAGCCTGGCACATTTCCTGGTATCAAGGCAAATGGTGCCACTAAAAAGGAAGCAGTTATTCACTAGAAAACTGCTGAAATTATTATACACCTAAAGTTACTAAATTCAGGCAAAATAGGATTCTAAGCATGCATACATCCTACAAGCAGAAAATACAGAAGAGTCAGCGAAATGGAGACAGTCGTATGAAGAAATGACGTGAAAACCACAGCAATTATATATTCTAATATCTACCGGAGACAAACACACACACATATAATCAAACACCACACAGTCAAGATAAGAGGAAGAAGTAAAGAAAGAAAGGAAGGTCAAGAAAGACAAGCACATCACTTAATGTGCTCTAACACCAAATAAAAGTATCTAAGACATGAGAAACAAAAACACAAACGCAGTAAATAACTTTCTTTTATATTTTGAACTGCTTTACTTATTCAACTGCACTCCTGGACACATGATAACACACATAAGTTCAGTACTTGTCTCTAGAAGAAGGCAGAAATAGGGATATAGGAGAATCAGGAGTGGCGTGTGTTATGGTCTTGTCTGAAGAAGCGGCCTCGGTGCGCAGATCTTTCATTGTCTTCCAGGCTTCGCAGGGTGGACAGATAGAGAGAACCTACGAGCGACCATCAACTACCTACTGACAGTGGTTGAAATGAGGAGAAGATAGTGATGTTTTCTGTCAGGCAGTATCTTGAAGAAAAGAAAAAGGTTCAGAGTACAACAATAATGAAAAATTGTTTCAGAATGGGGGAAAAAATAACTGTATCTGCTGTCCTGTTTCTTTTCCCTAAAACTAACAATTATTTCCAAGTTTTTCAACAGAAAAATGCAGACGAAGAGTGTGTTCAGTATGATCACAATTGGAAGTAATCGATGTTGCTTATTGGACATCGAAAGCGGTGCAAGAACCTTCACAAAAAGCTTCCGAAGTTGTTTCAACGGGAGCGTCTCGCGTGCAAAGAGTCGTCTCGTGGACAGTGCTAAGAAGGGAGGCGTCACATTTAATAAAGCAACGCCACAATATTTTTCTCTGCTACGAATACAATAAATAACCGCGTATTCCAGAGCCTCTTCTATGGAAACTATGGTTGCTCATTAAGCTACAGTCGATGATGTCAAAGGTTATATCCTTACTTCAACGAAATTTCCCTAAAATACGATCGATATCTCGATCGATATTCATTTTACATAATGAACGATATCTTTAAGTATGAAAATAGAAATGACGCCAAAACAACCCGATTTTAACCAAATTTTCACTAAAAGTCACATTAAAATCAAAATGACACCACTCACGCTTTAAACCTTACAAAGTATTTTGGGCATACATACAGGGTGAGTTTTCTCACTGTGTCAATAATTTGCAGGCAGTTTAGGCATCTCTAGGGGACCATTTTTCACCAATGAACTAGTGGGCGCAAACGTCTAGATACGGAGATAATTGGTGTTTTGAATTTGGATTTTGCGCCTACGAGGTAGGCACCCGGTGCCACTGAGGGTGGCAGGACCTGTCGAGGGGGTGTCGCGGGACTAGCAGTACTCGCGGGAGTGCCACTTAGCTCGCGGAAGTATCCGTGGAATCCCGCCACCCTCGCAAAGACAGGCGTGAGATCCACTGTAACGGGGGCCACCATGGCAGCCCCTTGAGACCCGCGGCAACCCCTCCCAAAAGACATTTGCAAGGTCCGCCGCACCCCTTCGAGACTCGAAGCACCCCTCCTAGACCCGCGACACCCCCACGTGAGGTCCTGCGCCCATCAGTGGCAGCGGGTGCCTATCTCGCAGGCGCGAAGGCCAATTACAAAACAGCAATTATCTCCGTACCTAGACGTTTGCGCCCACTAGTTCATTGGTAGAAAATGATCCCCTTGGGGTGCCCAAACTACCTACAAATTATTGACACATTGAGAAAACTCACCCTGTAGAGTACAAACTGATTTACTTTTTTAAAGTTCGTAAATTAGGAACTATTTTCTTTACAAGCTCACGAGTACTCAAAATACTGTAGCTACCTTACTTCGGAAGGCTTAATAGTGTGTAAGGTTTTCAGAATGCTATGAGTGTTTTGTGTTCTTTAGAGTTGGGGTTTACCAATCAAGTACCAACGAATGACAAGTATTTTAAGCACAGCCGGGATATAACTTCCAACACCATCTCATAAATGATTAAGTAGGACCTTCCATGAAAAGGAAATGTGCCACTTACTGCTGTCAACGGCCCAAGCCAGAACGAACCTTGAACGAAAAGGGCGCTGTTTATTTAGAGCCAGTAAGTAACCGATAAAAAAAGAAAGAAAGAACAGAAATGCTTAAAAGCAAATGTGAACCTACAGCAAAGCGCTGGTTAAGCATTGTATTTTCTAATTAGGACACAACCATTTCAACCTTACGTGCATTATGCTAATTCCAGGTTCAGCAATAACAAGTCAGGGACAGCCATGGATCGAGCCGATTTATTTCCACAGTTCTAATGACATGATACGGGGTGTCCGTATTCGTTTTTGAAAGCGGCACGAGCGGTGAAGATCGAAGTGACACGTACACCAATCTTACATTAGAAATAGATGGATTACATAACAACAAACAGATAAGCGGTTACTTAGACACATCGAGGGTACACTATTTAAAAGGGCTCAAATATGAACATTGCTCTTAATCGAACAAAGAGGCTTCGCGGTATTCTTTCCACTATAAGCATGTTGGTCGTGTAGTCTGACCACTCGGTAGCGTATCGAGCTGACCTATGTGTGAATGGGAAACCTGTCGTCCTTTTCTAGCTATGAGAGCGAGCTCCTATTCTAGTTAGTTCTACAGTTAATTTAACATTTTTTATAATCACTAGCTATGAATACATACACGCACCAATTTAAGAAGTCAAATGATGAATGTCTTGGGCTGCTTGAAAACACTTAAAAACGCAATAATTTGACTAAATTGCTAATAACTCATTGATTGTGAAGGACAGACTACTCTATTGGTCCATACAACAATTTAGGTACCATAAGTTGTTCCAAACAAAATAAAAAATAAATCTAGAAATTCAACATATAACAGTACAAATAACGTAAACAAAATTTCAGAACGTCCTCACGTGCATGTGATACACGCGTACTTAGGGATTTAAAACGAAGACCACTTTCATAAATTTCTCTTTTAACTAAATTGCAGCAGACTTTACGTTACTGGCACGGAGTGAACTGTTAGTGTATGCGCGAGGTGAGTCAAAAGGAATAAGAGCATATTAGAGGAGAAAAAAGAAATGGAAACGTCATTTGAAAGAGATCTGTGCAAGGCGAGGAATTGACAGAGAAACAACGTGCGGGACATTCAGATCGAAGTAGGAGGAAAAGCGTCTACATCAGGTTTTTTTTGTTGAACTTGCAGACTTAGGTAATTTTGTAGATGCTTATTCACATCCACAAGTAAATTGAATTACTTTCTGAATTTATATCAAAATAGAAAGAGAGTCTATCAGAAAGTCTTAAGCTTCAAGAAAAGATCACACTTCTAAACAGCCCTCATTAAGCTGGCCTTCAATTAACATCAAAAGCGTAATTTCCACAGACGCATAACTCAGCTACGGTTCTAAACTACAGCAACACCCCATTCAGTATTGTTACATATATCACAGAAAGATTAGTAGCTACCAAGAAACACCACTCGTTTGTGTCGCAAACAATAAAGTAACTGCTCTAAACACCTATTTATCATTGGAAAGACTTCGCCATTAGGACACAATGATCTATTTCTTGACGAGTATTTCTAAAATCAATCCTTTAGTTTTAAAAAGTTTGCAGAACAATGCAGTGGGGGTACGAAAGAGTTCATATTCTAATCAAAAGAATCCCGATCATGCATTGGGAGAACGTTGGCACATTTTAGTCTATCTTTACCATAAAAACCGACCTACGGCTTCAAACGATGCTACCTCAGGCCGATCCGAAGGGCAAATCAGGCCTGTCCTAGATCAGTTATCATGAAATGCAAAAGTGGGATTAATTTATGACAAACGAGTTAAGCTGATCCGATCTCTCCTAAAGTAATCACTCTCTTCACTTGAGAAACGAAATCAAGAAAAAAGGGGGTGTGTTGCTTAACTGCAGGAAAAGTTAGGGGTAAACCAAAGCCGTTGAACTGAGGCTCTAACACTTAAGTATATTCGAATATATCTATGAATGAGATAAAATCCTTTTTGAATGAAACGGTCCTATAGGCTGTTTTGGAGCGCGTCGCGCGTCACTCGTTGATACAGTTTCCACCCCTAACCAGAAGGAAAGAGGGAGAGAGCTCTGAGGCGAACGAAAGTCCCTCGCATGCCTACCTTGACGCTCAACGAAGACGAGCAATCCGCATCCTGTACAACGCACTATCAAACACACTAGATACGGAAGTAAAAAATATCCCAGCATGCAGCTTGCTCTGCAGCGCTCCTCTCGACGGCAGCACCATGGCAGCACGGCGGCGTTACCTCTGTCTACTTTGAATGTTGCTACACATATCGCTTCGCAGAAGAATGATTTAGCTACAGCCGGGTCAAACAGAAATAACGCCGCTCTCATGGCAGCGTCCGCAGGGTCGCGGAGCCCATACTAGCATTACAATACAGTACACAAAGCAGGTGAACGACTGTCTCCATGCTAGCAGCTATTATACCGGTGTCTTCGGTAACTTTCTTCTGGTCGGCGAGGCTGGCGCTTTCTCGGTCTCCGAGTCTGCAACAGCATTCACTCGGTCAGAACAAATCTTATCAACTGAAAATGTGACCATGTTCAGTCCTATTTTATAAGAAAGCAATTTCGCAGAGCCACTTGACAGCCAGATATATTTACACCAGCAAGAGTTTGAATCCACCTACACTGCAAGAAAAAGTGTGAATAGTACAACAAAAGTACAACAAAAACTGTACAATAAAAGTAAACAGGGATTGTGTAAGGCACAAAGAGAATTGCACAAACCACAACGAGGCCTGGACTGCCCAGCACTCGTCATGCCGGTTCCATTGTACTTTGTACAACAATTGTTGTACTTTGAAAGTACAATAAATTCCTGATAAAAAAATTTGCCAGTAATTAGTGTACTTTTGCTGTGGTATTTTCTTGCAGTGTCAAGCAAACAGCGGTTGTGCCATACAAAGAAATCTACGCCAGCCATAGATATCGACGTGAGTTTGAATCAACTTTTTAAGATAGACAATCGCACTTAGCACGTTTGCAACAGGAGGGTGAGAAAGTTACACTCACTACCAATACTGTTTTTTAGTTTGCGCTTTTATTTTCAAGAAACGTATGTATAGCGAAATGACGAAGAGACAAATGGAAGAAAAAGTATTGCTTCAATGAAGGAGGCGTCGTCGAGTCGCCTTGCACCTCCACTAGAACACTCCTTAATCGGCGGGGTAGACGAGAATGTACCTCTAAGGAAGTTTGCCTCTAAAACATACACATCGAAAAACATATTTGCAATATCCCTCTGTCTGTCTGAAAACTGCCGTAGAGGTAAATTTAAGTCTACTCGGATTTAGAGGTGTGTCCGTAGAGGTGCCGGGCTACCTCTCAAACGGACCGCTCTCGAAGGTGCCAACCAGAGGGTGTGCAAAGATGCAACGGCTTGTGAGAAGGGTGGCGGAGTAGAATCGAAGGAGGAGACGGATTATGAGAAACGACACTCACCAGACGACAGGCGCAACTCACCCAGGCTCAATCCCAGTTGCTCCCCCTGGCCACTCTTCCGTGGTCCCGAGGAGTAGCTGGAGGGATCGTCGAGGAGATCGCACATGCGTCTGCCACGTATCATCGGGTCATTAGTACATTCAAAAAAGGAACAATTAAAGCATGATGTGACGCACTCGTGTAAGTCTTTTCAAAATGTCAGAAACCTCTCTGAAAACCTGATGAAAATTCGCGCAACTCTGAAAGCTGAAAACATCTCCCGACAGTCTCGTAAACCGTCAGAATTTTAGCTTTCAGAGGTGCGTGAATTTCGATCAGGATTTCAGACATGTTTCTGACATTCTGACCAAATTTACACGAATGGCGTATAATGTTCTCTTCGTACGCACAGGTCTGAGCAGTGCTCGACGAGGAGCTCGGCGACGTCCCCCGTCCTGTCCATGACGGAGCACACCTCCTCGAAGCTGCGGTCTGTGAGGGCCACGCCCCCCCACTCCAGCACCTTGTCGCCGCGCTGCAGGCCGCCCTTCTCGGCCGGCCCGCCGGGCACGGTCCACACGATGTAAGCGAACAGGCGGCCGTCGGGCCCGGATTTGCCGCCCACCACGCGCATGCCGAAGCCTCGGGCTGCAACACAAGGCCAGCGTCAGGGCGGAACCTCTGGTCGGCACGCCGGAAGGCCGTCAGGGTACCGCGTCACCGGGGCCGAACCGTGCCCGCCCTAAGGCTCGACCCGGGTCACAACGAGAAAACGAGGCTACGGCCACCTGGGCTCCACATCGGCCGCCCCACTGTCGGTCGGCGGTGTCCTCATCATAACCTCATAAAACTGCAGTAATCCCTGGAATTCTCTCATCAAAATCGACCTTGGGAGCGCTCCCCTCCGCCCCATCCCGCCCCACCCATCCTACCCAACCCCCTGCCCCCTCCCCCGAGCGCGCGCCCCTGCCGCGCTGCCGCGCCCATGCTCGCCGGTGACAGCTGATGAATTCGAGATCGAGGATCGAGCCGGGACGTTGAACGCATAACGCCTCTCATGTAACCATGACATCGGCCTTGCAGCCCGGGGGCTCGGGGGCTGACGATAGCTTGACGGGCCAGCGGAGAGGGTGGCCCAGAACCAAAACAATCCGCGACATTTCGAAAGGCTGTGCCTTCACGACGCCCACCACCAAGCGCCACCCAGAGAAGAAAAAAAAATTATTTTGAGTACTTCTAGTGGTTGTCTAGGCATATTGATTTTTCTTTCGAATGCTTTTATGTATTTGCCGAGGGGGACTGTGTCAGTGTGCCGGCTGGAGAGAACCTCAAAATAAAGGCAAAAAGTCACCTGGGGACTTGACCTGCATCATCTAGTATGTAGTGTGTACACGGCACTCTTCAATATCAAAGGAGAGGCGTGTAGCGTCCTGCCTTGCGCAACGTATAAAAAAGGGAGAGAGAGAGGGGGGTCGTGCTGGCGGCGGCAGCGCTTTGGCGGGAAAAGATTTAATGTTTAATTTCTCGCTAACTCCGTTCCTTCCGTGGTAGCGTGCCACGTGAAGGCGCTGCTTCCGTACTTTGCAAATTGCATTGCTACCCCACGTGCGCCGCTGCCTACGGCTGCCTACGCCGCACGTAACTACCGCTTGTTCCTGATGACATTATGATACTCCTTTCCTGCTAATAGGTAGCGAGGCCTCCACCCCCCACCCCCACCCCGCGTGGCCCAGCGCCTGCGGGCACCCTTGGCCTCGTCTTGGAGCCGCCCCGCACCCCCCCGCCGCGTGTACGCGCCGCCCCTGGCCGCCCCTTGTTGCACTCACTGCGGTGGGCCTTGTCCGAGGGGTCTCGCCGTAGGACGACCCGCCGCTTGCTGGCCGCGCCGCGGGCACCTGCGGCAGGAAGACAGTGAGGACGGTCAACACACACTCACACGCATGCGCCACCAACTCACACATTTCTGCGAGAGGGGTGACTATCAGTGCCACGCAGCGCAAAATGAACGGAGGCAAACTCACCGAACATGGGATCCGAGTCGACGTCGTGGATGACAATCTTGATGGCCTCGCCGTCGGTGACGGATGTCTGCCGCCGCATTCGCTCCGCGTCCCCGGCGTCCTCCATCGCCGGGGGCGCGCGGTGCGAGTGCCCGCCCGCGTGCCCGCCCGCGTGCCCCACCGAGTGCCCCACCGGGTGCCCAACGGGGTGCCCACCCGCGTGCCCGACCGGGGGCCCGGGGCCACCCATGCCCGGCACCAAAGGACCCCCCAAGGGAGCGTCTCCGCCGCCCGCCTTGGCCGCCCGTATCTTGTTAATGTCAGGCCTGGAACACGAAACAGCGTCAAGCGCCTGGGGGCTCGCGGCCGCCACACCACCTGCAGGCCAAGACCGCCAAGGCCGCGGTCCACGACTCACAGCTGAGATCCGCGGCGCCGCGTCCGCCGCTCCTCCTCCGGGGCACCGTCCGCCACGTCCAGCACGGCCACTGCAAAGACATGAGAACAACTTGTAGCGTCGCAGAGTAAAGTAGGAGGTGCTTCTCAAAGGCGGGGACTTACCTGAGGGGTCTTCGGGCTTCCTGAAGGAGGACCGCCGTCCGGACGGGTCCGACGGGCCGCCCCCGCCAGACCCACCCCTGGCCGCCGCCTGGATGGCCGCCGCCATGGCCTGCGGCGACAGCGCGCCTCCCGCCTGGTACACGTCGTACGCCGAGGCGCGGCGGGGCAGCTGCGCCGGCAGCCCCAGGCCCACGTCGGCAGCCGCCCCCGGCACACCGGCCGCGGCGCCGCCCGCCTTGATCTCGTCGTCGTACGAGTGCTGCTTCTGCACCCGGGAGCGCCGCCGCCCCCCGGCCCCGGCGTGCGAGGCCCTGCGCCGCCACTCCTCGCCGGGGTCACCCTCGTCCCCTGCAAGAGGCGGCCCACAATTATTTTACTCGATTTCATCTCCTCCTCAAATTTGATAAGATTTACCGATCATGATGGTACCACATTATGTGCCCCTTCAAACGACAGCCAACCAAAACTACAGACGTGTGGTTTAAGTTCCAGTGTGGGGTACGTCCCCGCTCTACCTGATTCGCTGCGACCCTCACCTGGGTTCTGCGGGGACGCGGCCCGCGAGCCTCCGCCGGGCGAGACGCCACGTTTGCTGTGCCGCCAGTCCGGGTCCCAGTCGTTGCGCCGCTCGCTCGCCACCTGCAGCACCACACGGAGGCCCTCATCAGCACCGCCTCACCTCACTCGAGACGCCGCCCCAAAACTTGGATGATTGAGATCGACGCGCCGAGAGGCGAGGCCAGGGCGGCCCGGACCCACACGAGCGTGAGACATCACCGCAAACTTAACCATCAGCCGGGAGTTCGCTAATCCGTCCGATTGGTTCCGCTCCCCTGATGCTGACGTCACTAGCCAACCAATCACGGCCTGTTTCCCCCGACGCTCGCCGTGGCCCTCACACGGCTTGCGGGACAGACGCAAAGCTGACGGCGCGGGGTTTACGTGGGCCTAACGACGACACGCGCCACACAGCCCTACGCAGCCTAGGCCCGGCCTGACGTGGCGTAGCCTGGCGTAGCGCGGAGTAGCGTTGCGTTACAGGGCTCTCGGCTCTTGGCCACCAAGGCCCCCGCCAGGCTGCCGCCAGACCGCCAAGGACCCCGTGGACAGCACGGCGTCGTCATGCCTCAGCAACACGGGCTGGGCCGGGCCGGCCCCGGCCACCGTTTGCGGAAGTCTTGCCACATAAGCAGGCAAAAATTCCCTCGGGGTACCAGTGTACCAGGATGTCAATATCAGCTTGCCTTGAGGGCAATATCTGGGCTTTGCTCTCGGGAAGTTGAAGAAACCACTCCCCCAGGCAGACAAACACCGCGACAAGACAGGAGGACGCACTCCACGTCCACGGCCAAGACCACCGCCCACGTCACCAGCTCCAGCACCTGTCTGCAAGAGTCCGGGCCCGAAGGCGCGGCCTCGGCCGTGTCGCATCCCCCCCCCCCAGCAAAAGGAAAGGCAGAAAAACATTTCATGAAAAAGGGATCTTTTCGCTGAAAGGAGAGAGGGCGCAGCAGCAATCTCTCTGCAGCAGGGACGCAAAGAAAAGTTTATGCCGTCGTGGACGCGGACCGGACGGACTCTGCGGACGCGGCTCGTCTCGCTTCGGCGAGCAGCCCGTGATAGTAGTTACAGGCGAATCCCTAACTCGGTTGCCTCGACAACTCTCTCGGCTCTCCTGGCCTTTTGACCTTCGCCAGCTGGACCGTGGCAACTGGATGGCTGACCCTCCTCTCGGCCTTGGCCTCGGCCTTGGCCTCGGCCGCAGCGCAGCCCCCGCACAAAATCAGTGCCGTTGGCACAGCGGGGGAAGAAACATTACCGCTGAATCACACTCACGTGGCTCTTGACCTTCTCCAGCTCCTTGAGGGAGGCGGGCGACACGTCCGAGTGGCGGCGCAGCTCCGGGGAGCGCGGCGGCGCGAGGCCTGCGCCCAGCCCGCCCGCGCCCCCCCCCGCGGCCCCGGCGCCTCCCGGACTCAGCCCGCCGCTGCCGCCCAGCTTGACGTCGCTGTGGCGGCGCTGCAGGGACTCGCACACGGGCAGCTCCAAGGACGTCTCCGTCGAGTCCTGGGCCGCCACCTGGGCGCGCGACTGCAGCTTGCGGCGGCAGATGGAGCAGCGCCAGGCCTGCAACAAAACGACGGCCGCACGGCGCGATGAGCGCGATGAGCACCACAGGGCTGCCTCCCTGCCTGCAGGCGTGCTGCACTGAAAAACCAAACGTGGTCTAGACCGCACCAACTGGTGTGGTCAAATGGGTGTCATTTTGACCGCATCAGTTGGTGTGGTTTAGACCACGTTTGACCACGTTTGGTGCGGTCTAGACCACACCAAACGTGGTCAAACGTGGTCTAGACCGCACCAAACGTGGTCAAACGTGGTCTAGACCGCACCAAACGTGGTCAAACGTGGTCTAGACCGCACCAAACGTGGCCAAACGTGGTCTAGGCCACACCAACTGATGCGGTCAAAATGGCACCTATCTGACCACACCAATGGTGCGGTCTGGACCACGTTTGGTTTTTCAGTGTGGAGGCGTGCTGGGGGCGTGCTGGAGGCGTGCTGGAGGCGAGGCACGAGCGGGCACGAGGGGCCGCCCCCCGCGCGCCGCGCTTAACGGGACAACTTGGACCATTGCTGTCGAGGGGGTAACGACTGGTAAATTTCGTGTCAGCCGGATTACGGACTACCCCGGATTACCCCGGATTACCCCCAAATTACCTCCGGATTACCATAAAAAAATTCATAGATTACCTTTGGATTTAGCAGGATTACCCCACCCCGGATTACCTCAAAATTTTCCCGGATTACCTCAAATTTGGGTTACCTGGATTACGGATTACCAATCTGGTGTCGGCCGGATTCCCGAAGTCGTTACCCCCTCCATTGCTGTTCTCTATTGCGCGGACCTGGACGGGGAGGGAGGGACGGTGGGGCTCTGGAAACAGAATCGAGAGGGGCAGGTTGGGAGCGGGGTGGGACACCGTTTGCCTGGATGTAGTCCTGCCGCGTCAGTCTAAATATTTGATATTTTTAACGAGGGCTCTTCGTTTTCAGGCTGCGCCTCACTGGACCGTCAGCAACGCAGCCACTGGGGAGGCACGGCACGGCACGGCACCGGACAGCACGGCACGGCACGGCATGGCACGGCACGGCACGGCATGGCACGGCACGGCACAGCACAGCACGGCACAGCACGGCACAGCAGCACCATCCGCAGGCCTCAGCCTCCACTGTGTGCCGCACAGATTATGGAAATCTCGTTCTACCCTCGCGGCCCTGGGGGTGGAACGGTGGGACGGTGGAATGAGCGGTTGGGGGTGCGCTGGTGAAAATTGACGTGGATTTCGGGACCTGGGAGGGCTGCCACAAGGCGGACTGGCACAAAGAGGGCAGCAGGATGGGAACGGGTGAGAAGAAAGAGAGAGAGAAAGAGAGAGAGAGAGAAAGAGAGAGAGAGAGAGAGAGAGAGAGAGAGAGAGAGAGAGAGAGAGAGAGAGAGAGAGAGGTGAAGGGGGGACAAAGACGTCGAGTAGGGACGGCAGGGACTGGCAGGACACGCCGCCGAGTGAGGGAAGTTTGCGGGGCTCGAGGACGCCAGCTGGGTGGGCATGAGCCACCCATATCACGGCCTGCTTCTCTCGTCGCTCTGTCTCTCTTTCAAGGAACACACACACACACACACACACACACACACACACACACACACACACACACACATCGTCACGAGCACTGAGCCCAAGCGTGAGACAAGAAAGAAAGCGAGCGGTCGTCCTTCCTTCCGAACACGTGGAAGTGCGTCGCCAGGGCCGGGCCAGGGCCGATTCGAGGCAGCGCGCGCGAGCCCCTGGCGGGTCGCAGGGCGTGCTAAGGACGTCACGGGAAGAGCAGCTCGGGCAGCCCCCGCAGCCCCGCCTCGGCGGTGCCTAGGGGGCGCCATGGCGGCGCGCGGCGCGTGGGTTCGAGGAGGGCTTTGCGGGGCTTTGCCGGGGCGCTGGCGCGGTGGCGGTCGGGCGACGGACAGGCTCGGCAGGGTCGGGTGCCAGCGCCAGCACAGCGCCAGCACAGCGGCACGGAGAGATTATAACCGTTGGTTGCCGAAGGCTTCCAATTCACCCAGCGCCCCGACCACCACAAAGGCATCTGAGACGCAGGGCGTCGTCGTCGACCCACCTCCACTGAGCGAAAATGACACCACGCGCCGGCAGCAAGGCCAAGGCGGCAAGGGCGGCAAGGGCGGGAAGGGCAAGGGCGAGGTGTGTACTCACGTCGTCAGCGAGGTCCTCCTGCTTGGTGTACGACGCGCAGTCCTCGCACACCTTGAAGTGGCACTCGCCGCACACTCGGATCACGTCCTCGGGCTTGAGGCTCTTGAGGCACACGCGGCACGCCCCGGTGCGGCACGGCGGCTTCCCGGGTTCTTTCCTGCAACAGGCATGGCGTCATGAGGAACACACGCGCACACACCACACACACACGAACGCGCACAAACACGCGCGCGTAACAAGAATACAGTACCCGGCGTGGCATGCAAATATTGCCCCTCCGTTCGTGTTCCCCAGCGTCGATTCGAGGGGCGGGTAAATACGGCGAGCAACCGGATCCGGGAAGAAAAGCAAAGTCCGTGTCCGGAGAGGACGACGCGGACGCGACGCAACAAGTCCGGTGGCGCCTCGCCTCGCCTTGCCTCGCCTTGCCTCGCGGTCCCCGAGCCCTCCGGCCCCGGCTGGAGGGCAGGCGGAGAGCAGGCAGTCGTCGGCAAGCAGCGGCAGTGTAGCGCATCGCTAGCCGTCTGTCCACAGCGAACCTTGTTTTCCAGTGCCTGCACCCCGCCGCCAGAGAGACTGAGAGGCTGCCCTGTAATGACGCCACAGTGGCTCCGTGGCGCGGCGTGGCGCGGCGTGGCGTGCCCCGCTCACCCCCGAGACCCCTTCTTTCGGTTCGTTCCGCGCGGCGACGCGGCGGGTTTCCACCGCCTTCCTGGCCATTTCCGCCCCGTCGATCGCGGGGACTCGATTTGCAGCTCGGAGCCTTCCGCAGTCCACAGGCGGTTCGCCACGGCCTACGGACTTCCTGCGAGGTAGACCAGCCCGCCGCGCGTGGCAGCCGTGCTGTGCTGCCTACCCTCGAGTTCGCAGGCGCTCTGGGCCACCAGAGAGGCACCAGGTCACCCTACGCTCTAATCACCGATGGGGGCCGGGCCAACGGAGAGATCTTTGTGGCCCGCCATTATAGATCGCCCAGGTAGGTAGCCCCCAGCCTGGGCACCTCGAGTGCAGGCATCACCGGCAAGTACCGGCGCCCTTAGGGCAAACTCTGCACGTCTGTCTTGTATCTTTCGGGAAATGGCCGCACGAGGTGCGGGTTTTCCGGGCTCCTTCGAAGAGGGCGGGTAAGACCCATTTAGAACCATTGGGGGAAAGAACGTGTCCAGGGCGTCCACCATACGGCCCTCGCCTCTGCGCACAAAGGGGGCTGCCGGGTGTAATGGGCGTCCGATAATGTCAACCCTACCTGTCATCTGTGTCTTTTTGGGCGGAACAGCCCGGTCGCCCACGCCCTGGCCCGCCGGCCGTCCTCGTCGGTGGTAATATTGCCCGTGACAAGGTGTGGCACTCGTTCGCGCCAGTGTACGCGTGGGTTGCTCAGCGACGACCCGTCACGTGCTGGTAATCACCGACATGGCGGGGCGGGCCCGAAAGGCAGACGATCATTTGTGCCCAGCCATTAATCGCAATCGCAACGCCGCGCGAGTAGGCTAGCCCGCCGCGCGTGGCAGCCGTGCTGTGCTGCCTACCCTCGAGTTCACAGGCGCTCTGGGCCCCCAGAGAGGCCGCCCGCGAGGTAGGCTAGCCCGCCGCGCGTGGCAGCCGCGCTGTGCTAGTTCGCAGGCGCTCCACCGGCACAGTGCGCCAGGCGACCAGTTTAAGCGACACAACTTCGTGCACGCTCTGTCTAGCTGTGTATCTTTTCGGGAAATGGCCGTCACGCAGGGTGCGCGTGGTTTCCGGGCTGTCCTTCGAAGAGGGGACGGGTAAAAGACCTATTGTGTTGAAATGAACGTGTCCAGCGGCACGTCCACCATGACGGGTCCTCTCGCCCTCTGCCGCACAGTGGAGGCTCGCGGGTGTAAATGAGCGGTCCGCAGTAATGTAATACCCTCAGCCTGTCATCTGTGTCATTTTTTGTGCGGACAGCAGCCCGGTCGCGCCACCGCCCGTCGGCCCGCCGGCCCGTCCTCGTCGGTGGTGGAATATTGCCCGTGACAGTGAGGGTGCTGTCGGCACTCGTTCCTGCGCCAGTGTATCGCGTGGTGTTGCTCAGCGCAGCGCAGCCCAGCGCAGCCCAGCGCAGCGCAAAGCAGCGCAGCCCAAAGCAGCGCAGTGCAGCCCAAAGCAGCCCAGCGCAGCCCAGCGCAGCCCAAAGCAGCGCAGCCCAGCGCAGCCCAGCGCAGCCCAGCGCAGCCCAGCGCAGCGCAGCCCAAAGCAGCACAGCGCAGCGCAGCCCAAAGCAGCACAGCGCAGCGCAGCCCAAAGCAGCACAGCGCAGCGCAGCTTAGCCCAAAGCAGCCCAAAGCAGCCCAGCGCAGCCCAAAGCAGCCCAAAGCAGCCCAGCGCAGCCCAGCGCAGCCCAGCGCAGCCCAGCGCAGCCCAGCGCAGCCCAGCGCAGCCCAAAGCAGCCCAGCGCAGCCCAGCGCAGCCCAGCACAGCGCAGCGCAGCTTAGCCCAAAGCAGCCCAGCGCAGCCCAGCGCAGCGCAGCCCAAAGCAGCGCAGGGCCAGGGGAAAGGGACAACCACGCGACAGCGAAAAGCACACATAAAAAGTGTGCCGCTCATTGTGGAATCAGGAGGAGCTCCCCAAGCAGGCGAAGCAGGGCGCCTCGCCGACGAATATGGCCGGGCCCTGGAAGCCATCCATCCCGAGGCCCAGGCGTCCCCTGCCGCCGCCGCTGCCGTCGCTGCCGTCGCCAGCCACAAGCGATGCCGGCGCCAAGTGGAAAACGAAATGAGTTGCCGCTTCGTGCCTGGAACGGGGAAGTGGATAGCGCGGCCTTGTCTCGCCTCTCGCCCCGCTTCACTCTTTGAAAAGTTGGTTGTTGTCGCGGCTGCCCCTCTGCCTCCCTCCACCAGCCTCCACCAGCCTCCACCAGCCTCCACCAGCCTCCACCAGCCTCCACCAGCCTCCACCAGCCTCCACCAGCCTCCACCAGCCTCCACCAGCCTCCACCAGCCTCCACCAGCCTCCACCAGCCTCCACCAGCCTCCACCAGCCTCCACCAGCCTCCACCACCTCCACGCCTCCACCAGCCTCCACCAGCCTCCACCAGCCTCCACCAGCCTCCACCAGCCTCCACCAGCCTCCGCCAGCCTCCACCAGCCTCCACCAGCCTCCACCAGCCTCCACCAGCCTCCACCAGCCTCCGCCAGCCTCCATGCCGGGCACAAAGCACGCGCTCTCGGACCGCGGCCGGGCGAGGCCGGGCGAGGCGCCATGGAATAATTGTTTTATATTCGCCGCAGCCCACATGGGCCAGGCGTGCGCGGCGTGCGCGGGGATCTCTTTGTCCGGCGCCGGGCCTCGGCCGTGACCAGCACTCCGAGGCATGCGGAGGCACGCCGAGGCCTGGGCTGCAATGCAGTGCAGCACCGGCCGCCGCGCCGTGATCCAATGAAGGGAGCCGGCCCGATAAAGCAGCCAGAATAAGAAAAAGCAAAAATAATACAGCGCTTTTCCGTCGTCGCCCTTTTGGCGTTGGCGGGCGTCTAAAGCTGTTTCACTAAAAGCCTGCCGCGCTGCCGCGCCACCCAGGCCTTGGTGACGTCGCCCAGGCTGCCGGGGCCACTTGCAGCCGCCCCCCGCCCCGTCACCCGGTGAGTGGGTCTGTTCAAACCTTACCCGACACAGAACCCCCGGCTCCTGCCGTCAACAGCGGAGGGCGTTTAAAAATAACCGTCGGGGCTCCGGCAGTGCGGCGTCAGCGCGACACCCACTGGCGGCGTCCTCGCGGGCAACAACAACCACGCCCTGTGACGCCCCTCCCCGCCCCTCCCCGCCCCTCCCCGCCCCTCCCCGCCGGAGGTCGGCTACGCCACGGCTACGCCACGGCTACGGCACGACTACGCCCTGGACGCGGTGGGGTTGGCGGCCGGCCCGGCGGTGGCACTGCGGGCTGTAGAACGAGAACACACACACGGGTCGACTAACCAGGCCGACGCACGGGCGGCCGGCGGACGCACGGGCGGCCCCGGCCCGGCCGCTCCGTTACGCCAAAGTGAGTGAATACCTGGCTGACCCGTGGAGCCCCCACAGTGCCCCGCAGGCACTCGCGCACCCTGGTGGTGCGCCGCGGTGCGCCGCCCTAGCCGCCCTAGCGGCTCGCCCTGGTGGCGGCCCCAAGCCCCACCCACCACACGCCTCACCTGTTGGCGGGAAGGGCCCGACATCGCGTTTGCTCGGTCGCCCCGCTCCGCTGATAGTGAATAGCTGAATAGTGGAGAGGCCCAGAGTGAAGCCGGGCAAGTCCTTTCGCAAAGCGGGCCGCGCGTTCCAAGCCGCGGCGTTAGGATAAAAATGGGTCAAAGGTACCCCCACTGTTGGTCACCCGGGATGCGTAGTTGTGGGTGATCCCCATTGGGTACCGATGACGAATTCACTGGTAAAACAAAGGCATAAAAATTACGCCCTTTAGGGCATAAATACGCTTTTATGCCCTTGCAAGGGCATAAATCGTTTTACGCCCTCGGGAAGGGCGTAAATGGTATGGGAAATTAAAGCAAAATTTTAATGCCCTTCCCAAAGGCATAACGATTTATGCCCTAAGGGCATAATTTTAATGCCTTTGTTTCACCAGTGTTGTATTGTGATTGGTGCGAGTCAGCTTGGCCGAATAGAGGGAGGAATTAATTAGTCGCGCCGAGGCTTCGTCGCCTCGGACAGCGCGAGGGGCCCGGTCAGAAGAGTTTCATCGCTTGACCGGTTCACCACCTTTTCCCCTTTTGGCCCAACTGCTCGCAGCCGGACTACTCTCTGGTAATTAGCATACGGGACTTAGAATAGTTTCGTCCTACTATTAACGGACTTAGAACAGCCCGGCATTGTGCCATACCTCGCGAACTATTATCTGTAACCTGTGCCTAGGTGAGTAAGCCTGAAGATCCTGTCTGACGCGAGTACCTAAATTCTGCCCAACTAGATCATAAAAATATATTGACAACCAATAGCATTTGATTAACCCTTTACTCCTGAGACCACACAGGGTGCCTTTCCCCTTTGAAAAAACCCAGAGAGAAACTAGAGAATCGAGACACAAGAACACCAAAAGAACACACCTAAAAACCCGAGCATAACGGCGGGGTGCGCGTTGGGTTGCCTACTCCGCAGGCGCCGCTGCGCCGCTGCGCCGCTCCCGGTTCGCTGGAGTGCCG